CGCCGAATGCTCGTACCTCTCGTGTTTCCGTGCGTTCTCGCCGACGCCAAACCTAATGGCCACCCAGGTTGACTCAGGTTGACCGATGTATTTCGTTGAAGCACCACCCATGGAGGTGGCTCTCAAACATGAAAACTGAAACCAATATGATACAGGCTGATAAACCTTTTGGGTATCCCCAAGTTTTTTACTCTTGGATCATGTCCCACTTGGCTCCGCACAGTGCCGAGTTGATGCGAAATGTGAAGCCTGGGGCCATGGATTCCCATCGAAGCCGGAGCAGCGGAGTGCCGAGTTGATGGCGCCACCGAAGGTTGAAGGTGCGCTGAAATCAATATGGGATCAATGTTTCTACAACGGAAATGGCTGTATATATATATAATAGATATATATATATATATAGGTAGATAGATAGATATACATTATTATATATATATATACAGTATAAATACGTGTATATATATATATATAGCTTAAGAGTACTATCCGAGTAATTATCCTTCTTTTGGATGGCTTTTAGAGCCCCCCAAATAGTCACCATAAAGGCAACAACTCTGGGGGCCAAGGGCCTAGAGCGCTGTAGCTGCTCTTGCTCTCACCGTCCCCCACCAGACACGACACCTGCGACTGGTCAAGTCTAGGGTCGCCCAAGGATGAAACCCTATGGGTGGTGTATCTCCCTTTCAAAAAAAACAGAACGATGGATTCAAAATGTCACGAATTCATGTGAATTCGTGTTCCTTGGAAAAAATCAACCGAATTTCCTGCCCAGCGCTTCGTATTTACGGGAAATTGACGCCCAAATCTTGATTTCGGAGTCCATTGCAACTCAGTGATACCATCAATCTTCACCAACACAGGCAATTTATTGCAATTTGGTCATTTTGGTTCAATATCCCAATATATCCCAATGAATGTTCTGCATCTGTCGTTCAATCTGGAACTCAGAAATCCGACACTCTTGGGCTCCGTGAATTCGATGAAGGCGAATCCTTGGTGATCCATGGCCATCCATGGGACCCTGCAATGATGTGATCCGTCGTGTTTGTCCATGGGAATAGAATGGGAATATTGTTGTGTTTGATTCACAAGCCATGCCTGGCTATTCACCAAGCAAATTGGCTTTGAAAAAAATAGAGAGCGAGACTTTTTTTTTGCATAGAACTTGATAGAACCAACCAAATCATTTGGGTATGGGTCATGAGTCCAAGACAAACACGCAACTCTTTGGGGACATTGCAGTCTTGAACTTTGGCCCATAGCCACGTTGATTGAACAATGGCACGCAAGTGAATGGAGATGAATGGTTATTTTGTTTTAATCTCAATCGATTATGTGAAAATGATCCAAAACATAGCCTCGCTTTCAGCCAAAACATGCCAAAACTCAAGCGATGATGTGTTGGGGTGTGAACCTCTACCAAGTTTTTCTTCGGTAGCGTTGATCTATCACTATACCTACTGTAGATGGCGGGTTTTCAACGCCACAGGGCAAAAACCAATGGTATGTCTCAGAATGTTTTTCGCTGAGCCGTTCACCGGCCGCCTGCACACTCCGGCGGACGATCTTGATCTGGCGACCACAAAATTCGTCATGTCGGTTGGATTTTTATGGTTCCTGATGGTCGAGTATCAATTGAACCCAACCATGAGTATCAATTGTTTATTCAATTTTTGGGGATGTCAATGATCTTGACCCAGTGGATATTCTTCACTGTACTCCATTCAAGGACTCATCTGGATGATATGGTTGGGACAAAAAGTGGTTTAAACCCTCCCAAAACATCCACCCAAAACATCCTAGGGTTTCCTACTTCGCTGCTCAAAAGACATCAACACGGGATTATTTCACCCAACAAAAAGTAGGAGAATCATGTGTTTATACCTCACCATATTTCCCGGTTAGCTGGGCAGACGTTGGTCACAAAGCCAGCAGATGAGAAGGCGCGATGAAGAAACTCTTCATCCTTGGAGGGCGACATGTAAGATGCATCCCTAACAATAACCATGAGTTTTGATGATGATATTTTGTAACGAGCCATCTAATGATTGGATTTCCGAATCAGTTCTGCAGTTCTGCATCTAATGATGTTGTTTTTCATCCGATCCTTGGATAACAAGATGAATAACAAGCCATCTAATGTACTAATGGATATTATATAATGGGCTAACAATACCTGAATACTAACTCCTAATGGGGATATAATTCCACCATCAGGAGTCTGACTGGGATTTTTTGGGGGGTATAATTTACCACAATGGTGGAGTTTACCATGGATAGAGTGGGGATATAGTGTAGTGATCACTAGTGTAATAGCTAAAGTGGCATATTTCACCATATGATTTAGGGCCAGGGATGAACCTCAGGAGATTTACCAGCAAGGTATGCTTAAGAAAAAGAATACATATAACATATATATATATACATAACATATATACATACATATATATATATGTATATATATATATATATCCTAATAAATGTTCATAATGAATCATGGAGATATCCACCTGGGTTGCATAACTTATCATAGGTTAATTTTATGGCTCAATAAAAAAATAACATCATATAGCCAGCAATTTTTTGCGAAGTTCCATGGGCTCCGGGCCATCCAGCCTTCCACATCGCCAACCCAAAGGGTACGACAGTCCTCCCAACTAAAAACGTGGTGGAAATTGCTGGGATTTCAGCCCAAAAAAAGTGAGGTATACTGACGGTATACTGGTATACTCGTGATTTAACTCCAGAATTACTCGTTGAAATGAAGATGTCGTGAACCCCAATCATTGCGATAGAAAATGGGGATCTAAGTAAGCAACAGGTGGGGATATGCGCTCGCGAAATTTGCGATATATTGGGGATTTTAATAGCAATCCAAAAAATGGGAATATGATGATTGAGATATGGTGGGGACCTACTCAAAATATGAGGATAATGGGTTCTTAACTGAATTATAAACCCAATATAGCAACCAAATCGATAGAGAGTAGAAAACCCTGGAAAATATGAATACAATACTTGCTACAGTACAACATCAGGAACAAAATGCAATGTTTCTGACATTTTCTGACACTTCCAACAAATAAAGTGTTGTGCGTTCTTTATCTAATCTTTCATGGTCATCCATCCGCAGATGAGAATGAAAACAATGGTTTAGTCCTGAACATCAACTTGTCAACATTGATCGCCCTAAAGTCCTCAACGGCTCCTGAGCATGACAAAAAGCGCCTGCGCTTCATGCTTTTTAAGAAAGGTTCCTGCAGATTCCCAGGGTCCCAGGATGGTTCCCCTGTGTCCTTGTTGGCCATCACCTAGGTGGTGCCAGGTGCATATGGGATATGTCATGATATACCCGGATATACCCATATATATATATATGTGTATATATATAGAGAGAGAGAGAGAAATACATATAGTTATACAGATGATAATGTATACATATATGACTCATATGACATATGATCTGATATTGCATGCGTCTATCATTTTGTTGCTTTGGTGGTTTGAACCTGTCCCAATTCATTGGGGCCAGATGTTGGGGAAACGACACCCTCGTCGGCAGATGTTGCGAGATGATCTAATTGATTTTGTCAAACTAGCCCCATCTACCCCCCCATTTCACCAGAAGTAGGTCGTTTTTCAACATGGGTCATTAGTCATGTCCCCATTGAACATCACCCAACCATTAGGTATATGGTCTATAATTGGCTTCAAAAACATGGCTTTACCATGCTTTACCACTTTCGTGAAGATGAAGCCATTCGTCAATTGGTTGAAGTCGCCTAGTTGCGCTAAGATCTGCCAAGTTCATTTCAGTGGCTGAAATAAACCAGACAACAAAGGTAAATAATAGTAAATAAATGTAATGCTAGGATCCGTTTCACCTTGGACGTTGAAAATTGTTGAAAGCGAAGCCAGATTTTGGACCATAGTTTACCCGGTGTTTACCCTGAATCGTTTCTAGTGATGCTGGACTGGGGCCCAGATGTTGAAGCTGGCTGCTCCAAGCCCCGCACAAGATACGCCGGAGGTGGGTTGAGGCCGCGGTAGTGTGTCAGAAAAGGAACCAAAGAAGGATCGTGAAAATCTTGAAGTGATCAACTGTTGATAAAATGTTCAAACTTGTTTACCATTTGTCGCTGTTCTTTAAACGTTGACCAAGTGTTGAACGTTCAGGTCCGGAATCATTTTGCTATCTGTCCATCTGTGAAAGTCGTCTGCAAGTTGACGCAAATCCACCGCAGTGTGCCATCTGAACCGACAGCAACGGTGAATCCATTGGCTTCTCAGAAAAAATCCACAACCCGCAACGGGTCCACCCTGCGCTACAGTAGCTTAAATCGAAAGAACAGAGATGTATCATCAAAAGCTACCCCCCGAAATTTGGTATATTATGTTTACCAGCTGGTAATCAAACATGGCTTGATGGAACATCCACTATATCTAGTTGATTTTCCCACTACAAGTTCCATTTATAGATATTTATAGGGGATGGTCTCAGATATCTTCTCAATAATCTAGCCCCATTCCGACCCTGCTACGCAGAATCAACATCAACATCCTGCCCCGTCAACATTTAGTCGCCATACGTAGCCATGATCACCATCCGAGTATGATGGAAATGGATGGAAATGGGACATCTGAGCCCCCAAAAAGGCCCTTGATGGCACTCAGCGGAAGGGGGGGCGCCCTTTCAGGAATCCATGTAGAATCCATGTATCGTGTCTGGCTTTCAAAGTGAAATGGTCCCTCATCTCTGACCACTCTGCAGATTCATTTTGTCAGATGCCGATGGGAAATCCTTTCTGAATCCCCCCTTTAAAGACACACCTCACACCCAGGATGTCATCGTTTTTTCCACAAGTTCCGGCGGATGAAAGTTCTCCACCGGCCTCAATGGAAGGGGAGGACATTCAGAAGCTGGGGGCCACTGAGACTTTGTAGCATGTGCAACTTAAGTAGTTCATGTTCCGGGTCCAAGTTCTAAAGCACTTTTCTTTCTGCTAGAATTGGCATTTTGTTCGATGGCGAAAGCCTCAAGCTGCAAATGTGTATGAGATGAAAATGAGGCAACCTTCGCAGGTGAAACGACTTTGGAAGGACCAAAGTGAGAAAAGTGGAACAAAACGACCAGATACTCAATCTGGGCCGTCCCCAGCCACCGTATCATGCTGCTGGCTTGGTGTCCACTGGAGCTGGCTTGGCTTTGGCATCGGCCAAAGAAAGCAAGTTCAAAGCTTCACTGGCTGCTTCCTTTACTTTGCCCCTGCCATGCTTCGCAATAGGGGTCAGTATTGCAATGCCATCAGCTTTCAGGATGCTTTCTTTGGCCTCAGGATGGTTGGCCAAATTTCGGAGGGCCCTGGCAGCGTGCCATTTGGCAGCCTCACCGCCATTGACCACTAAGGCCACCAGTCCTTCACATCCACCTGCTTGGCGAATCGCAGCTCGTTTCTCATCTGATGTGGCCGCCCACTTCCCCAGCTGCTCCGCGGCTTTGCATTGCTCATCGCTGGTGCCAGACTCCAAGGCCTTCACCACTTGGACCGGGTTTGGGCGTGACTCACGTGACCTACGAGGTTGAGGCAGCAGCTTCAGAACATCCTGAGCATAATCCCTCCCCAGCTTCACCATATCACCATCTCTGGGATCCTGAGCCAAAGCCTCCAAGGGCTCCCGGCCGCCGCACGCCTCGATGGCTTGGGCGACCTGGGAATTGTCTTCGGCCAATGTGCCCAAAGTCAAGGCAGCCTCGTACTTCGTCCGATCGCCGCCGTCGCGGAGCAGGGCCACCAGCAGCGGCAAAGCACCTTCGGCCTCGACGGCCAACTGGATCTTTTCCTCGCCGTATGCCACGATTCCCAAACCACTCGCAGCCTTCCGCTTCTTGTCGTCGTCGGCTTTTGGGTCCTTCAGGACTTGGACATGCTCTCGGATCTCCATAAGTTCCTGGATCAATGACAATTTTTGCTGTCCGTTTAGGTTTTGGGTGTTGTAAAATATGATTGGAAATTGTGAAATGATCACCTTTTTCTTGCTCGTTACAGCATATATGTACGGCCAAATGGTTGAATTTTTTGGTCGTATCGGGTAAAAGCCAATTCGACCACTAAAAAATGAGAGTTTGAAGTCAACCCATCAGGTGCCTTAGTCTCTTCAGGCAACCGCTTCAGAGCTTTTCGAGCCAAATCACTCCCCCACTTCACCGTCTCATCGTCTCTGGGGTCCTCAGCCAAAGCCTCTAGGGCCTCCCGGCCGCCGCAGGCCACAATGGTTTTGGCGACCTGCCTGTCCTTTGCCAACACGTACAGAACCTCAGCAGCCTGCCCCTTCGCAAAATCATCACCATCGTTGAGCAGCTCCACCAGCGGCGGCACTCCACCTGCACATTCAACGGCTAAGCGCTTCTCGGGGCTGTCGGCAAGGTTTTCCAAAGACCGCGCAGCATTCGCCTTCTCAGCGTTGTTGGAGTCACTGTCCTTCAGGATTCGGATCTGCTGTTGGATCTTCGCCAAGTCCTCACTCGCCATGGCTCTGTCGGTTGCGGTGTCAAACTGATGTCAAACTGTTTGCTGTCGAAATGCTGGTGATGCGAAGCTCGCCAATTGTTTGGGTTGAGCTGTGCATTAACTTCAAATTTTGGCCTTCAATTTTGATCATCTTCAGATGATTGCAATTGGTTCGAACACTTCTAGAAGGCATCCATTGTTCTTGGTCACAAAGGATTGGGCCGGCTCACAGGTTTCGTTGTGAGATGTTGTGAGCATGTGATGCACCCCTGAAACTGGTGCTTTTCGAGGGCGAACCAAATGACAGACCAACAAGAAACCCCTGCATTCTGCCACGGAGGTACATCCTCAAGCCGACTTGGAAGCCCCGCAGAGGATATGATCATCCTGGTGGTGGTAGTGGTGGTAGTGGTGGTAGTGGTGGTAGTGGTGGTGGTGATTCATTTTGCATATCTCATTGCATATTTGTTGTAATGATGCTTCATGATGGCTATGATTACCCTTTTGATACCCTGGAAAATCACCAGATTCAATTAGATATATGAATTATTGAGTCAAATGGTGGATGATTCTATTGCTTGTTTGGATTCGAAGCAATTGCCAGTGTAACTCCTATACGATTCGAAATGATATTGTATCACCTATATTGCACGATTCTCATCATGATCATCCTCATTGCGATAATAAAATATAAAATAATATAAATAATGTATACAGATCATAACAGTCATAGCCCCAAAATACCTTGCACAAGTATTTTCAGGACCACAGATTATATGTCAGCAATGATCCTTGGGATAGCAGCCATAGATGGTCTCACCCTTTGCGAACCCTGCGAAGCCCACCTGCGGAGCCGGGGACAAGTTGAACTGAACTGAAAGTTTCACGGAAAATCCTGTTCCCTGAAAGAAAAAGTAGGAATGTGTGGGGCTCAAAATCCGGGTTTTCTAGAGATATTAAGATTTACCTTAAATCCGCCCAGTGATACATGATGATACATGATAATGAGTCAATGGGGCAAAATTTGATCAAATAGAACTTGCACAGTGAGAAATCATATTGGAACACCCACGCAGGCAGGAAATACAGCAACTGGGCGAAACATGTCCATAAAAGGAAAGCTTGTGACAAAAATTGTTTTTTGGGTCTAGGTCCTGGGGTCCCGGCTCGACCTGCACAAGCTGTTGGTCAAAGCTGCTTGGGCCCTTCGACCCGTCACACCAGTTCGTGACACCTCTTTTAGTGGTGTATAAATACAGTCTATCTATGTCTATCTTCTATTTGATAGATCTTTTATTTGTTTGTGCAAAAATCACATGTTTTGTGGATTCATGGTTCTGGTGGCCCCCTTTCCATAGGATTTCTTTGGCACAGTGGGCGTCTTCTATTCAGGGTTCCTTGCTTTGCATATTTTACATGCACTGGGTTTCTTCTGTTTGAGATTTCTTCTATCTGGCTTACATTTTCTTGAAGTTTTCGGCATCCCAACTCTGAAACACAACTCAGGGTTTTTACAGACGGTCTGAGTTTCGACATATAAAAAATGAATAACAATGATGGTTGACAGAGAGAAGATGGTCTGCTCGGAAGCCTCGGAAACGTCGACATTTTCCGTGCCAATGTGCGTCTTCTATGTGTTTTGAGGGTTTAATATCTTCTATCTTCGTGGATCCTAATATAGTACCTTAGAAATCTTAGGGGCCCATTTAGCCCCTCACATGGCTTGAATCCTGGTTGAACACAACTGGTATAACTTCATGGTGCTTTGTCATGTGGAAGAGTTGTGGTCGCCCCAGTTGATACCACTGATGGATTCATGACATGTAATGGAACTAGCCCCAACAATCATTGGAGTTTTGCATCTCCATTGGATAGACACGAATGGGGTGTTATCAACCAATCTCCCGGGATCTACAAACAATTTACCATCTGTTTAAGCTATGGAAAATGGCCCATTTATAGTTCATAATGAGATGATAAACACGCTGTTTAAGCTATGGAAAATGCTGATTTTCCATGGCTAAAGGGTACCCATTTGAGGTTCGCCGATGGGATCGCACCTCATCACCGTTTCGGCAGGGCGTTTTGAGCTGTCTGCTCCAGCAAACGTGGCAGCGCGCTGAGCACAGCCGCGTTGCTTTCACAGGCTTCGCAGGCGGCCAAACGACTTAGGACCTCGGAACTCAGGTGGGTCACCAGAAGTGATGATTTTTGGTGCACAAAAGAATGAAAAATCCATGAAATTTGCATTGAAAAATAGGGACTTGGCCATCAAGGGTTTGAACTTTGAGTAAACAGCAAGTTGAAGCAACGGCAGGATGATTCTTCATAGAGAACATGATTAGAAACTGTTGAAAGTTGAAACCTACTTCAGAATGAGGCAAAAAGTAGAAATCTTACAGCGGGTGTTGGTTTTTTAAAGTTGGTCTGCATTGCTGTCAGATTGACAATCACTCGTTGTCATTCATTGTGCCCCTGTCAAGATTACAAATTGTGTTGCTCTCCTGTATGCTGGGCTGCGTCTTGACCAGACATAGCCGTTTTGTTTTCTTATGTTTTGGATATCCTTTCTGATTTGAAAACCAGGATACTTTTTACAAAAAAAAATGCGAGTTGTTGTTAAAATTAACCAGGTGAATCCAGGTGATATATATATATATATACATATAATATACATGTTTACAGTAAAAATAATGCAAAAACATGCAAAAACTACGATCTTGAATTTTTCAACTCACTGTACAATCACCTTCTTGGCATGGGTATACTTTCAAAGCTTCTATTGCTTGGACATTGGTTGGCCAGAAAGCAAACCTCGAAGACCAACAATCATGTGGAAGAATGTTGGAAAGAAGCTAGCCTCAAAGAAGCACAGCGAGCTAATTAGCCTCAAACTAGTTGGGTCATAGCAAACCAGCCTCAAACTACGACTTTAATGGCCAGCAAGCCAGACTCAAACTACGACTTTAATGGCCAGCAAGCCAGCCTCAAACTACGACTTTAATGGCCAGCAAGCCAGCCTCAAACTACGACTTTAATGGCCAGCAAGCCAGCCTCAAACTACGACTCTAATGGCCAGCAAGCGACTTTAATGGCCAGCAAGCCAGCCTGAAACTACGACTTTAATGGCAAGCAAGCCAGCCTCAAACTACGAATTTAATGGCCAGCAAGCCAGCCTCAAACTACGACTTTAATGGCCAGCAAGCCAGCCTCAAACTACGACTTTAATGGTCAGCAAGCCTGCATACTATGACTTTAATGGCCAGCAAGCCAGCCTCAACATACGACTTTAATGGCCAGCAAGCCAGCCTCAAACTACCCGCCAGGTTGGAAATGGGCCGAGTAAAAACAGCATTTTCATGTGACTGGCAAGAAGTCAATCATGCGTTTCGCAGTGTTTTTTCATGTTTTTATGTTGTCCATGAAGGTCAATTCTATTGTGATTTTGAATTTTCATTGGGATTTACTGTATATAGTTGACATGTCGGAGTGCAAAAAAGGTTCCTTTTGGGAAGTCAACGTGCCCAAAACCTCAGTGGCAGCCATTTTTTCCGGTGATCTCTACATCTTCGCTAAGTACGCACCTGTTTTCTCCAACAGGGCTTTTCCAACTACATTTGCCTCCCATCACCACTGCCATGTGCGAACGTACGCCCAAATGAGGTCATTCAATTTTTGTTCGTTTTCTGGGCAAGATGTCAACGTGCCGTGGCGTAACATCACGGGAGTGCGCAAGTACGTGAACGTTATTGCCCCACCCCACCCCACCCCACCCCTGCGTGACGTGACACATCTTCAACGTAGCATGACGTATGTGCGCACGTGCAAGTGAACGTGCCGTGGCGTAACATCATGGGAGCGCGCAAGTACGTGAACGTTATTGCCCCACCCCACCCCACCCCACCCCAAGGAACATATATAAAAATGCCTAAAACGCTCGACGGTTTTCAACCCGTAGGCTCAAACTACGACTTTAATGGCCAGCAAGCCAGCCTGAATCTACGACTTTAATGGCCAGCAAGCCAGCCTCAAACTACGACTTTAATGGCCAGCAAGCCAGCCTCAAACTACGACTTTAATGGCCAGCAAGCCAGCCTCAAACTACGACTTTAATGGTCAGCAAGCCAGCCTCAAACTACGACTTTAATGGCCAGCAAGTCAGCCTCAAGCTACGAATTTAATGGCCAGCAAGCCAGCCTCAAACTACGACTTTAATGGCCAGCAAGCCAGCCTCAAACTACGACTTTAATGGCCAGCAAGCCAGCCTCAAACTACGACTTTAATGGCCAGCAAGCCAGCCTCAAACTACGACTTTAGTGGCCAGCAAGCCAGACTGAAACTACAACTTTAATTGTCGGCAAGCCGGCCTCAAACTACGACTTTGATGGCCAGCAAGCCAGCCTCAAACTACGACTTTAATGGCCAGCAAGCCAGCCTCAAACTACGATTTTAATGGTCAGCAAGCCAGCCTCAAACTACAGCTTTAATGGTCAGCAAGCCGGCCTCAAACTACGACTTTAATGGCCAGCAAGCCAGCCTCAAACTACAACTTACATGGCCAGCAAGCCAGCCTGAAACTACGACTTTAATGGCCAGCAAGCCGGCCTCAAACTAGGACTTTAATGGCCAGCAAGCCAGCCTCAAACTACGACCATGATGGCCATCAAGCCAGCCTCAAACTACGACTTTAATGGCCAACAAGCCAGCCTCAAACTACGACTTTTATTGCCAGCAAGCCAGCCTCAAGCTACGACTTTCATGGCCAGCAAGCCAGCCTCAAACTACGACTTTAATGGCCAGCAAGCTAGCCTGAATCTACGACTTTAATGGCCAGCAAGCCAGCCTCAAACTACGACTTTAATGGCCAGCAAGCCAGCCTCAAACTACGACTTTAATGGCCAGCAAGCCAGCCTCAAACTACGACTTTTATGGCCAGCAAGCCAGCCTCAAGCTACGACTTTAATGGCCAGCAAGCCAGCCTCAAACTACGACTTTAATGGCCAGCAAGCCAGCCTCATACTACGACTTTAATAGCCAGCAAGCCTGCATACTATGACTTTAATGGCCAGCAAGCCAGCCTCAAACTACGACTTTAATGGCCAGCCAGCCAGCCTCAAACGACTTTAATGGCCAGCAAGCCAGCCTCAAACTACGACTTTAATGGCCAGCAAGCCTGCATACTATGACTTTAATGGCCAGCAAGCCAGCCTCAAACTACGACTTTAATGGCCAGCAAGCCAGCCTCAAACTACGACTTTAATGGCCAGCAAGCCAGCCTCAAACTACGACTTTAATGGCCAGCAAGCCAGCCTCAGCCACTACGACTTTAATCAAACTACGACTTTAATGGCCAGCAAGCCAGCCTCAAACTACGACTTTAATGGCCAGCAAGCCAGCCTCAACTACGACTTTAATAGCCAGCAAGCCTGCATACTATGACTTTAATGGCCAGCAAGCCAGCCTCAAACTACGACTTTTCAAAGCCTACAAACGACTTTAATGGCCAGCAAGCCAGCCTGCATACTATACGACTTTAATGGCCAGCAAGCCTGCCATACAAGCCAGACTTTAATGGCCAGCAAGCCAGCCTACGACTTTAATGGCCAGCAAGCCAGCCTCAAACTACGACTTTAATGGCCAGCAAGCCAGCCTCAAACTACAACTTGAATGGCCAGCAAGCCAGCCTCAAACTACGACTTTAATAGCTAGCAAGCCTGCATACTATGACTTTAATGGCCAGCAAGCCAGCCTCAAACTACAACTTTAATGGCCAGCAAGCCAGCCTCAAACGACTTTAATGGCCAGCAAGCCAGCCTCAAACTACGACTTTAATGGCCAGCAAGCCAGCCTCAAACTACGACTTTAATGGCCAGCAAGCCAGCCTCAAACTACGACTTTAATGGCCAGCAAGCCTGCATACTATGACTTTAATGGCCAGCAAGCCAGCCTCAAACGACTTTAATGGCCAGCAAGCCAGCCTCAAACTACGACTTTAATGGTCAGCAAGCCAGCCTCAAACTACGACTTTAACGGCCAGCAAGTCAGCCTCAAACGACTTTAATAGCCAGCAAGCCTGCCTCAAACTACGACTTTAATAGCCAGCAAGCCTGCCTCAAACTAGGATTGAGAGGTTGTCAACCTCAGTTGCAGATTGTATCAAAAATAATTCAAAAACTATGTCTACCTTCATCCCAAGTTCTCACCCGGGCAACAGCCCACAGCCAGGAGACGGTGGCTGCACCAGGCAGGTGGTAAAGCCACAAGCTGCGCTGCCAATTCCAACGACTTTCGCCAACAGCGGCGACAAGAGCCTCATGCGTGAAATGTGCTCGATATGGGAATATCTGGGAAGTAAAACCTAATAAAACCCACAGATGAGACTGAGGCTCCGCAACCCTAGTGCTTCGTTCTCTCAAGTTCCCCTCTCAATATGCCAAGTGCCAGCTGCGATCATCTTGACCCCAATGACATTGGGATGAAAAGATGTGAATGAAGTGCCACCCGCGATTGTTGAACCCCATTTGCAGGCTTTCCTTCTGGGTGCCATTAACATCCATTAACTCTTGGACTTTGATGAACTGTGGCGGGTTTTTTTTGGTGTGTTGGCCCACCACAACAACAACCACCAGAGTTGTTTCCGGGAAAATTAACATGGTTGCCAACATAAAACGGCCTGGAAAAAGAAACAAAACATGACCGTACCCACAGAGTTTCTCCCGGACAAAAACCATGTCGGCATGCGTTTGATGGTAAAATATGGTAAAGTCCCAAGCTTTGATCGTCAAATCTCCACCGTTTCGAGTTTAATCTCGATCTTTGATGTTTAAATGCCGACTTTTTGTCTACATTCCACAATCTTCCGTGGTTAGTTCCCCTCCCTTTAACCAACCCCCGTTCAATGCCAGGAACCCCCAGCCCCGCGCTGGTCGGCTGCACTTGTTGCGCCCCTGCAACTTGCAGCAAAGTCAAGGCGAAGATCCAGCGAGAGGAGGAGATGAGGGTGGAAAAACCTTGGTAAAACGGTAAAACCCATGGGATTTGCTCCGTTTTGCACAGCAAAATAGCTGGGTTATGCTGTGATTTGTGGTGATGATGATTTATGATGATTTGTGTATGTTCATCCCCATAAAGTACTTCATACGTCTTGATTCTTGATCCATCCCCGGATAGAAATCCCAGGTCTACTAGGTGTTCAGGTGCGTTTTCAGCTCCACATGTTTAGCGTCTCCGGAAAAATGCGGTAACCGCCATAAATTCTCGTTTCGAACAGGAAAAATGTTGATTAAGCGGATTTGGGTGGATCACCATTGGGAATCTGTCTTGTCAAGAATGGGGGTTGAAAGGGCCCCACAAAGATAGGGATCATATCAATATCAACATGAAATTGGATGCAGCTCAACCAAATGGGATGATAAGATGGCCAAGCAAAGTACTAGCCAGTGAGACCAGGGAGGATTCTTGCATAATGTATTTGATGATATTTACCAACAGGGGATACTTCCCCACAGCATTGGATATGTACAGGAAGAAATGAACCAAACTCCAACAAATGACTCCCAAGCATAGCAATGCACAAAAAGATGTATCCCAATGGCGCCGCTTCTTTGCAGGTTCCCTCAACCTGACCTTCGCACTGCTATGGTGTGATGTGAACGAGTGATCCCAAGAATTTGTTTTGAGAATCCGTGTCTATGTATAAGTATAGCACACACACATCTATTGACAAATGTACGGGATTGTACGGGTCGATTTCTGCTCCGTGTACGTCTATCTGCAGGTAATATCATCAACATATTTCACATTTACCTCATTTAGCAAAGAAATATTGGGGGTGTCCTAAAATAGGGGTATCCCATAAATCATTCAAAATTTCGACCAGTTTTTGTCAGTTGAAAGCCATGGTTGAGAGATCAGCAGCTGATGGCGTCGCGACGGCTCGTTTTGCGGATGCTGGAAAACATCCTTGGACCGGAGATACGTCAAGGGATGGGTCCTGAGGTCCCAATGTCGAAAATGGCTGAAAACCGCAAGCCACAAAAAAGATAGAAAAGGGAAGTTAGGAAAGGGATGGAAAGGGAAGTTATCACTAATTTAGTAGGAGTTTGACTTTCCATTCTTTTTCGGTTGCTCAAATATCAAATTGAATGGATTGTTTAACAGTGGTTGAGATAAAAAGTGTGCACATCTCGATTTGCAAATTGCCAACTTAAAAATGACCCAGTTGTTGGTCCGTACGCGAAGGTTCTCCAAGGCCTCCAACGTTCCCAGCAAGGTTGGGACAGGGGAAAACCTATGGGGCAAAAACGCTGATCGCCAACATTTGACAAAGGGAACATAGCCAATGATTCCAGCATCTAGCAATGTCTAGCAGCTCATTCATCAAATGAACAACTAGAACAACGATGGATTCCGCCCAGCATCAGCATAGAGCGAAGCCAAGACCATGGTCTTGGCTGCTTCTCGCACAGAGCAAGGCCTGCTAGGCATCGCCCCGTGTGTTCATGTGCGTGGCGTTTCACAGGGATGGGATGAGGATAGAATGGGAAGCCTCGGCTTCTGAGCAACAAATAGCAACAATAGTTGGGATGATACAAAAAACTGGTGACTTCCATGGTGTTCGCGAATGATGGCAATACCTAAACATGAGATAGCTTCAGCTCCCCACATGTGGCCTTCCCGAGCGGAAGCCCTGGGCACCTGTGTTGAAGGTCACTGCACTGGGCACCAGTCCAGCTCCACATAGTAGCTGAAGTGAAGCCAAAAACCTCTGAAACTCAGAATTTCCCGGAGATTTTAGCAGGATTATTCCCCCAAAATATTGCCGATTTGTTGGGATTTCAGTCAAAACCCAACATAAAACCCTGTTATAGAGTTATAGGTGGTTATTAAAGGGATTTCATACTGAAATGTGGGGTTTTATGGGAATTACTGGGATTCCAAAACTTGATAACTTTGAGCTATTTATGGCCATTGATCAGATGTCATAGTGAAATTTGGGGCGCCATTCTAAATGTCCGATTGAATTTGGGGGTGTCACATTCAAATATTGTGTTTTTATAATGTGTATTATGGGGAGTCAACAATGGTAATTATGGGGATAATCCATGCCATGGCTATGTGATTGTGGTTGCATACAGTACCCAATTTTGTTGGAAAATTGGCTGTGGATTTGTTTGTAAATGTTAGAAGATTACTAGAATTATATATGGATATGGATCTTAAAGGCATTGCAAATCAACTATGTATAGCTTTTTGATGGAACGATTTTGGTAATCCATACCCAAGTTATAATTTGAAGAGGAATAATGATGCTAATCCATTTTCATGATGGTCATTTGTCTCCAGGTTAAAGTCGTTATCATGTGCGATGAACATGTTCCTTTGGATTACCCTCTGGTAAACTAACATAACTATGGAAAATCACAATTTTTTCATGGGAAATGTCACTATAAATGGTGATTTTCCATAGTTATGTTAGTTTACCAGAGGGTACAGAACAGACATACCTGGTTTTTTGGTCAAATTACCAGCCAAAAATGATGGTAACATTGGTGCTCCAATTTTCACCCCCATGTTGTAGCATGGAACGGGGGAGTGTGGCCAAAGAGCAAGGACCACGAATTCTGGAAGTTCAAGGCATTGATTGCCGAGTTGAAGCTGATGACACCTCAAACGCCAGCGGTGTTTTGTAGGTTTCAAACAGCATTCTGAGAATTGGTTCCAGGAAAATGTTAGAGGAAACCCATGGAAAGCCATGGAAAAAAGGCTGGGAAATCCATGCTTTCCGATGACTGAGTTTTCCTGAGCGAAAAAGGCACTGAAACATGCAGAGCAGTGAAGGGGCCTCAGATCAGTTGGGTGGCCAGTGATAGGATGGTCATGGTAAAGATGATCAACCAAAATTACTATTACCCTCTGGTAATTTGCTACATAGCTGTTGAAAATGGCCATTTATAGTGGATTTTCCCATTAAACATAGTGATTTTCTATAGATATGTTAGTTTACCAGAGGGTAATTACTGTGAAGAAAAACATCTTCAAATAATCATTCTCACATCATCTAGAGCAAGTGCTCATCCTCTGTCGGCCAACGAATCATCTCAGTTGCGGTGTCACCCCAATCTCTGTGGGCCCAGCCACTCGGAACAGTGTTTGCCCAAGGAACTGGGTGAAACCTTCCCCGTCTTCATGGTTGCCAGCCACAGAAATGCCATCAACCAAGATCCACCTGGGGTCGTTGAAGCGCTAAGCTAAGCTGATAGCTGGATGATATCCACAGTTCGTTGCATCGCAGCCTCGTTGAACTTGGGCTGTCATGGCCGCGTTGTAGCTGATTTCATCTGGAATCAACCTCTCCTCGCAGCGGTGTCAGAATTGCTTGGATCGCATCCAGCAGGTGACATGACTGGGTGCTTCTCCCCGTTGCGGTGGATTTTTTGTTCAACTGGCAGTGTGTCAAAACCTTGTACCCCTGGTGAACATCAAAATAGCTGGTAAATGGATGTTCATTCCCCTAAAAATGGTATTAATAGGTATTGATCCATAGCCAACTGGGACCATCAGACGGCACACCAAGAGCCAAGGATCCGTAGGCATTTGGTGCAATGTACCTGCAGCCAGGGACCAGCTGCCTGCGCTGATCAGCGAATTGGCGCCTCAGACCCCAGGTGCCCCCAATGGTTTGACCAGAACAGCTACGCATAACTGATGTTCACGGTGTTGACTGGGACTTAACCAGATCTTTTCGCATCATGTTGACACACCATTCTGACAGTCGCAGCTGTTGCAATTCGCATGGTTTTGTCTGCAATTCCAAAGGATTACCATCTGGTTATTTAACATAGCCATGGAAAATGGCCCATTTATAGATGGTTTACCTATTAAACATGGTGATTTTCCATGGCTATGTTAAATAACCAAAGGATTAAACTGACATCCCGACATGGGGAACCCAGGTCGAGGTTCTGATTTCGTCTCCACCATGGAGATGCCTTCCATGGGGCGCTTCAGCCATTTCTGGAGAAAACATGATCCTATTCGTGTCCTCATTTATTGATATATCACATAATATATATATGTGTGTGTGTGTTTAATCTATATTGAGCATATTGTACATATATACATATATAATACCATATAGGTATCTATGTAGTGTATGCATGGATATAGACATAGATATAGATTCAGATACAGGTATGGTTATAGATATAGAGATAGACATATAGTCTATATTAAGATATATAAAGATATTAATTAAGTATCTATGTAGACTGTAGTGTATGTAGCATATGTAATGCATATGTAATATACATCATACATATCTGGCAGATCTAGGCATCTACAGCTATCGGCATCAACCGTTTAAAAGGCGTCCGCCGCCTGCGAAGCATCAGCACCTTGCTCCAGGGCTCCAAGACGCTGAGCATCGCATTCCAACCTCTGCAGGTTCCCATGGGATGAGAAGGTACCAATAACGATAAATACGAATGATAAAGATATATAAAGATTAATACAATAATGATTCGTAATACTACTGTAATAATATAGTTAGGAATAGTAATAGTAATAGCAATTAGTAATGGTAATAATAGTATCAATAGCAATTAGACAAGAAATAGTAATGATAATAGTATGTGTAACAGTATTAGGAATAGTAATACTAATAGTAATTGTTAATAGTAGTAGTAATAGTCCAGCCATTGAATTGTGTGGATTATCGACAGATAATGGTATATATAGATATATAATACAATATAATATAATATAATATAATATGATATAATATAATATAATATCATACAATATAATATAATATAATATAATGTAATATAATATAATATAATATGATATAATATAATATAATATCATACAATATAATATAATATAATATAATACATATATATATAATTATATATATACATATATAATGATATAATTACTAGGATATTTACAAGGTAAACGGACCAACTTTGGCTGAGAATTCAGTGAAATCGGCGGATGTACCCAGCCATAAGGGCTTAGAAATACTGAGTGGTTGGTGGTTGGTGGTGATACCCCGATGAAACTTGGGATCAACGAATGTAGGAGAGCCACGTACTGGGTTGAAGCCCTGTTTCAAGATTCAAGATGTTTTTCCTACGAACTGCAAGATTTTTGCTTATTTGCAAATAGAATAGTTTGTGGAGAGTAACCAGCAAAAATTGGAAATTCTAAGAGTGGGATGAACCCAGTCCCAAAGCATTATCATCATCATTTCCACAATGAGCAATTACCATAAATTGGGGTATCGCACGGTCTCCCCCTATTTTCATACACATCCCCAAATAAATTGTGTCCCTTCTGCATTGTTTAAATCTCTTAAAACCTCTTAAAGAATCGTTTTGGATCATGATTTATGGGGGGTTCTTTTTTAATGAGGTATCCCCAGTCACCATAGGTTCACCGGTTCACTAAGTGTCATCCATGGCTGGGATGATAAAATGGGGGTACCCCTCTGGTAAACATACAAATAACTCTGGAAAATCACCATGTTTCATGGGATTTTTGTCACTATTTCTATGGTGGATCTTTCCATATAGTTATGTCACAAATTACCAGGCCGGGTATAACATCATATATCCCATTCAATCACCATTAAATCACCATTTTCCTATGGTTTTCCTATGGTTTTCCCATGACAAAACGGACATCTCCAACTCACCCAACTCAGCAGCATCGCAACGGCACACCGCTGGACCAGCTTCGCAAGAGATGCAAAGCTCGCGGCCAGGCGTGGCCTGGAGCCGACGCTGCAGGAGGAATACATAATATGATTTATAATAGCCAAAATTAATAATAGATAATTAATAGCCCAGGATAATTAATAGATAATTTGGCATAATGATTTATCATTTATGATGAATTGACATGAATGATTACCCTCTGGCAGATAGGGATTGGAAGACTAGTGAAACCATTAAAAATTGGTGATTTTCAGGGTCTATGTTTATTTACCAGAGGGTAATTCATAGCGTGATTGAATCATAGCCAAATTAATTTATTGAATAATAAATCATCAGATGATATTAAATAATAAATCAGATGATTATTATTCATCATCTGATCATCATCTGATCATTTATCAAGGGAATACATGAATGATAATTCTAAAGACTATACATTCCAGATAATTGTCAATTGCTGTATGGGAGGAATAATAGCGCAGTTTTTTATTCAAATGAAACATCTAGTACCTATCACGGGGTTGGATAATTATCCAACCTACTTTGGGGGTCTCAACCCATGGATCTTCGGGAGTTTCCCCGCCTTCTTTGAAGCTCTTGAGCATCGTTCCCAGTGTGATAGTATCCTGGTCAGGAAGCAACTCCACGATGAAAGGTGATGGTTGATGTGGGCTAATTTCGACTGAATTTTGACTCTCAAGAAGTTAAAAAGGATCTCTTAATCATGGCATCTTGATCAAAGAGTTTCTGCAATCAATTTTTCAGATCTACGAATGTATGCGTATAGATATATATATATATATAGAGAGAGAGAGAGATGCATAGAGTTGTTGAGATGTATCTCCCATCCCATACCAGCAATGGATCTGAAATGTTTCCCTACTTCTGGGTGATTTGTTGCGTACATGCCACAAAAAAAAGGATGGTGTGGGTGTCTATATTAGAGTAATACCATGCAATATCTGCATGTGACGTGAACATATATATATACATATGTATAATATATATATATGGTGTGTATATATATAATATTATATCATATTATATATATATATAGAGCTACACATGATGTGTCTAAATATATATCTATACATACATAGTGAATCAAATGGAGTACAACATGAATCAACCCATCCTCAAACGTCCTGGCGCAGCCCACGGTGACGGCCGCACTCCAAAGTCATGGTGGCCAGGCACCAGCCGTCTGCGCTGTGGACCATGGCCGTCAGCACCGAATTCAGGCCTCGCGCTGCGCTCCGCATGGCCGGCATGGCCGGATCCAGGCCCCGAAACATGGGATGATTGGAATAACAATAGTATTACTGGTTGGTGGTGACTGGAAGATTTTTATATATCTTTATGACTTTCCAATATTAATTGGGAATGTCAGAAATGATCCATTTTAGGATGGAACTTGAAAAGTAGCGAAAGGAAAGTGGGAGAAATTTCGTAGTAGTGAAAAACTCACTCTATGATTCATCATTTACCCTCTGGTGAACTAACATAGCAATGGAAAATCACCATTGTTAATAGGAAAATCCACTATAAATGGCCATTTTCAATTGCTATGTTAGTTCACCAGAGGGTAACATGATCAGAAAATTACGGGACCCTCACATCCTTTTGTGTCAAAAATGCCGCCTGTCCGTCCTGGGTGTTTCATCCAACACAGCCAGCATTTTATCTCATGAGATAGATTCCAATGAATGGACACCATTCTGGCACGGGTTTGGGCTCGTTATCCAAATCCATTGGCACACCCGAAGGAAAAGAAAGACTCTTGGCCATCTGGGGATATGATGTTCTCAAGCAGATATAATATATCACATATATAATATAAATAAAAAAATACATACATACATATATATATATGTGATATTATATATTAGATGTGTATTTTTTATGTAGATATAGATATGGAAATATGACACTCTTCAAGCCCAGGCCATGTCTTTTCTGACGCTGGGACTTCCGACTAACAATGTCCAGCTGCACCCCAGTGACCTGGACAAGACTTCCATGTGCCAAGCTTTGAAAATTGGCTAGACGTGCCCAAAATAAAACAACGATAATCAATGGGAATTTCAGGATCCTGAAATGGAGGTACCTACCATATATAAGGCCTATATAAGGCCTATGTAAGGGGACATCCCCCCAAAATATGGCCTGAAAAATGGTACAGTACCTCCATTTTAGGATCCTGGAATTCCCATTGAGATAATGATCAAACGTGGGGATTTGCTAATCTGGTTGGTGGTTTTTCGCCCTACCCCAATCTGAAAAAATGATGGAGTTAGTTCGTCAGTTGGGATGACGTCTGTCATGACCCCAATTCATATGGAAAGTCATAAAAATGGTCCAAAGCACCAACCAGTAATACTATTGTTATTCCAATTATTAACCATTATTAACCATAGATTAACCATAGATTAACCATAGATTAACCATTGTTATTTCTATTGTTATTGGGATGTAGCCACTATAACAATCCAAGAAGGCTGACCATTTTTATCATAAGCCGGTGGTTTTTCCCGGAAAGACATCGAAAAAAGACCTTGGAAAAGATGGGAGCACTTGACTTGAGCTAAACGTTGACCTATCTGGCTAAATATAGGTCACTAAGCTATATATCATCCCATATAAACCATATATAGATGGGATCATATATCCCATATATCTGGCTAAATTATATTAAATTATCATATATTTCACTAGCCTGAATAGTTCTGAATAGTTCGGCCCACACGGGGATGATTTCCCAAAAAATGACCCAGACCTATGTTTTTGCAAAGTGGTTGCTTTCAACCGGAAGGGATACCAATGGATACCTCAGACCAAACCACCAAACCGCAGGAATCGGGTTCCCAGGCGACCATCAGCTCCTTGGGCGCAGCTCCAGCGGCCGGTGGAGAACATCGGAAAAAACGGATGGAAAATCGGATGGAAAACACATGGAAAACCTATGGAAATATGATTTTGGAAGCCAACAAACAGTCTTCACCTCAGTGTGTGCCACTTCACCGTGCTACTCTGCTGTTCCCAATTTTTCGGCCTGTAATTATTTCTCTTTGGGGTGTTCAGTTTGGAACATTTTGGAACCATGCTCCGGCACGAGTTCTATTCCAGTCACCTCCAAATCTTGAGTTTCTGTATGTTTCTAGACCCTCCCCACATCTTGAAACCTGCCCCAGCTGAAGCATTTCTCCCAAGCGTCCAGAAGCGCCAACGCCCGGGTCCATCCAGCTGTGCCGATGATGGCGTTGAACCCGAAGGTGTTCCTTTGGAAACCCGTGGAGCCGTGATCGAAACGCTGAATCGTACTGCGCCATGCTTCGCCTGCTGTGGAGGCTTCACCAGGAGTTTCTCCACAGAGATTCAATATGGGTATGGGTCAAAATTAGGTACCCCAATAATTGGATGGTTAATACTAAACTAGACATTCACATCTGTGGTCCCACATCGGTCTTCCATTTTGACCCACATCCATATCAGTCCCGGTAATTCCTATGTCATTTACATTGGAGGGTTAACCACTATATGGCTGCCAGTGAAAGTGATGTTTGCACCCTTGAACGTAGAAAATATCTTGTGACGGAAAACCTGAATCTTCTAAGTGATCTGGTGGATTTCGTTCAAAAAAAGACGAGCATGAAACTCTTCCATTCGTTGCATGTTTCGGTTCTCAAAACCTTTGCACATGTCAAACAACAACACCTTTTTGGGCTTTTGACACATTTACAAACATGTCAAAAAATGCCATGTGTTCAGTTCTTGGAACAATCACAGAAAGGTCAAACATAACATTATCTTCCTTTTGGACCACTTCAAAAAAGGTCACAATGACCTCTTTTTTTGCTAAAACATTCAGCATGACGTGAACGTTGACATGCCCTTCCCCTTGCATAGACAAGAAATGGTTGCGCGTAGAGTTTGCATGAACGTTGATGTGAAATATGTAGTGCATCTTGATAACCACCTATGCAGAAGTAACAAAAGAAACAAATGAATCTCAAAAATAATGTTTTTTTTCCCCGGCAGCTTTGCAGGCAGCGGTAGCATAAACGAGAAAGTCTTCCCTCTTACCTATTCCAAACACAGAAAGCCCCTAAGCACAAAGTACAAAGCTGTGTCACGTTGCTGGGTGGTTCATCTCACTTAGTGGGTCATAACCCCAGTTATAAGTGGATTATAAGTGGATTAAGCCTACTCCCACTGAGAAAACTGGCTTAACCCATGGTTAACCCATGGTTAACCCACTTACTCGCCACCAAGCCCAACCATGTCTCGGCCTCGCGAAAGAAGTGTGGTGGTCATGTCATTGGGCTCTAAGTGCAGCAGCTTCATCTGCACCAGCCTGGGCACCGGTGACGAAGCCGCAATGGATCAGTGGATCCCCATAAACGCCACGTCAGTGACGCTGCGAATTCCTCTAGTTCATGGCTGGGGGTTCATTTATTTGAATTCACAGTTGATGAAATGATACTCCAACTAATAAATAGATTGGGTATCATAGTATCATAGTTCACAGCTAATAAAAATATTGGGTAATGATAAGTATAGTGTTTTCTGTAACTCCGAACTCATCATCAAATAGCCTTCGCACCGCCGAGCATCAAAAACGCTGAGGACCTCCAACGTGGCATGGCCTTGATGGCCGCATTGCTGCCTCGGCTGGATCCCTGGGGGATCCCTGGGAGACGTCCAAGACTTCTGACCCAATGAGTGGCCGAAACCTGAAATTTCTCTATGGAATACCATTTGGAAAACCATAGGAAAACCATAGGAAAATGGTGGTTTAATGGGATTTAATGGGATTTAATGGGATATACCATTTGGTTATGACTAACATAGCCATGGAAACTCCCAACCATAAATGGAGGTTTCTAGCTGGGAAAATCAACTATTTCTATGGGCCATGTTCCATGGCTATGTTAAATAACAAGAGGGTATGTGATGCATCAAGAATTGCTCACTTTTTTTTTGATTCACATAAAAATTCACTCACCGTTCACTAACCAGTTACTGGCTGCGTCCGGAATTGTCCGGCCACAGATCGAATCGGCCACTGCTCCAACGTCCCAAAAATCTTCCAGCCATGCAGCCATGCCACAAATTGTGTTGATTTCTACCTGGAGTATCTGCATCTGTCCTTGGTCGGGCTGACCAAATATCACTGGGACCTCCAATCTGGTTGCGAACGATTTTTATATGTAAGTGACTAGGGACCTAAAAATGACAAAGAACCTGAATCCTCCAAACTTGTTGGTTTTCGAACTTACTTAAATATAATATATGTCTATACTTGTATATATATAATTATATATATAATTATATATATATATGTACAATGTACAGCATATCATATCATATCATATCATATCATATCATATCATAATATATCATAGCATATCATATCATATATCATCTATGTGTATATATAATATAATATCTTGTGGGCCCGTTGTTTGACCCGTTCCTGGCATGCCACGCAGCAACTCGGCCCCTCTGCGCCATGGCGTAGTGTTCAGCGCGCCGCCGAAGCCTGGGCGATCGGTGACAAAAACGACCTACTCCGGCACGGGACAAACCTGAGATACCTGGATATATTATACATACACACGTGCGTGGTGTGTGTGTCGTGCGTGGTGCTGTGTTTTGTGTGTGTGTGTGTCGTGTTTATAATATACATATAGACTTCTTTTGTATCATGTATGGAGCTATATATATATATACATACATATGAGCTCCCGTCAAAATCCTTTACATTTGAGTAGTTGCTTTTGTTATGGTTATCGCTTTTGGGGGGGCCAATCCCTTTACAGGGTTTTATGGAAATCAGCATGTTCGAGATCCTTTAGTGCATGCATCTTCCTTTCATTGTGCATTAATTTCCTTTCATTTTCCTTTCATGTTCCTCTCATTTTCCATTAATTTTCCTTTCTTATTCCTTTCATGTTCATTCCAATGTGCATTCATGTCCTTTCATTTTCCTTTCATTTGCATGTGTTGCATTCATGTCCTTTCATGTCCTTTCTAAAGTTATGGAAATGGCTCTATGGCTGGGCCAGGGAACCGAGTGCAACAAATGGTTATCGCTAAGTTATCGCTAAAGTTATCACTAAATAACCCCTCCAACATATGACATTGTTCAAAGGAAATTTGCCACAAAACGACAGAGAGAAAGAGAGAGAGAGAGAGAGCGAGCGAGTTGGATGCCAAATGCTATGGTAACTGCAGGAAACAGGGCACCACAGGTTGAATTTCCTTCATCAGTTTTTCCCGTTCTGTGAATGTGCACAACAGTATTTGCTTGGTTTACGCCAAGTTTAATGGACTGTTGTGTATGGTCCCAGGTTATCGCTTTTGGGGGGTGCCCTATCGCTTTACAGTGTTTCGTGCACATCTCTGACAAAAAAAAACCTGCAATACCAAAGTAGTCTTCAACCATTTTCACCGTGGCTCATATGTATATATAATATATATGTAGAGAGAGAGAGAGAGAGATTGGCAGATCAGTCGAGTTTCTTCGTCGCAACAACTCAACCTATTCAAGGTTGGCCCAGTAAACTAGCACAAATTCAGAACCTGCAGGTGGGGATGAAAAACCGGGCCACAGAACACACCTCCGATCAACTGCAATCGTCTTTTAAACACCATGAAAATTGTTGTCCACTTCGTTTCCCGTCATACACCGTATCATAAAACATTGTTGCTGGAATCCTCAAATTTGAGGCAATAAAACAGTGACCATGAAATGTTAACCCTGGACCAATAAACCTTGAGGAGTTAAATTGGAGGCTTTACCCCAAAAGTACTTGAGATGCGATTTGGGGGGTCAAGTAGCTCCTGTAATGTCAACCCCGAATTCACAACCCATTGGTTAAGCAGGGGGTAGCACCCAAATAGTTATGACTGCAAGACTAGTATTTACTGGATTATTCATGGATTAGCGCTAATTATATATATAATATCTACATATAACTATCAGTATATAGTATTATATAATTAGTAATCCAGGAGTAATCACTATTTGCTCCGATATTGTTGGTGAGATATCCGATATATCCCATATATCCCATATTAATGAGGATTAACAAGGCCCCTGGGCTGTTGATCTGGGGGGGTAACCCTTTGAAGAGCAGATCATAACTCTTTTCAAATAGTAATTATACTTTTAGAATTACTCATGATTTTTAATGGATCATGGATACAAATGGATACAATGAGGATATGGCTTTAATAGTGATTACTATACTGGATTACTATGGATTACTAACTACTACCCTCTGGTAAACCAACATAGCTATGGAAAATCACCATTTTCAATGGGTAAATCCACAATAAATCACCATGTTCAATAGCTATGTTAAATAACCAGAGGGTAAACATCTACATCTGTGATAATTTCGCCACGAAATCTGCCAGGCGGCTCACCACTGTCGCCCTAAGGCCCCACTGCTTGGCTTTCGACAGAACGCTCAAGGCTTCTGGCCACTGTCGGCGCACTGAGAGCACCTGGAACTCAGCCGGAGATGCGGCGCAGATTTCACCGAAACAGGTGAATTTCACCATGGAAAACATGAGGATTTGACTCGCAAAGATCAGATTTGACAATTTCACCGGCAAAAACTAGAGGATTTTCTTGCAGGAATGGGGAGTTGAACTTTCAACCAACAAAAATGGTGCTTTTGCCCGCAGGAATAGGGATATGAACGATCTGAAAGTGCGTTTTACCAGCAAGCAACATGAAACTTAGCTTGCGGAGATTGAGTTTTTACCAACAGAAATGGACCAAGCAATAAATTTGGAGTTGGGCAAACTTTAAGATGGGCATTTTTTATTGGTGTTTTTCATTGTTTTTCTCTAAAACATGAGCCATCCAATGCCATCCATGTTGACACCTGGATCTTTGGGGTTGCCAAGGCACAGTGTTGCAATGGACGATGTTAATTTCAAGCCTGGCGTTGCGCAGGTGGCGCAGGTGATCACTTCCGTCGCTCAGGTGGTCCTCCCAGACTTGGAGGCGACTGAAACATGCATTTTTTTGGGTGGATAATGGGATGATAATGTCAATGGATTGGTTTTAAGGGAAAATCTACAGGAAACCATAGTTTTTACCATCAAATATAGGGGTTTCCTGTAAATTTTCCCATCATCCAATTCTATGATAATGGGATAATGGGATAGATAATGGGATAATTCTCTGATCCAATCCACAAGATGAAGCCGATCAACAGTGAAGACGATGAGCAAAAAATTGACATGCTGAAGCTCTAGGACCACAATGTCATGCTGAAGTTTGGCATGTCCTTAAACATACGGTAACCGTACATCTTTCAAGTGCCAAAGATTTGCCCACACTGCCGTGAAAACTTACCCTTCACCAAAAGTTTACCCAGTTGTGTTGGCGACAAATGACGATCCCCATGTCGTGTTGGCTGCATGGGAACCGATGTTGGAACGAGTTCCATCCATTGGCTGGTGAACCAATCCATTCACAAGAGCTCCTTCAGCTTCAGCATCTTGCGCCATGGCACCCATGCAGGGGCTGGGGCTGCTGGGGCCAAAGGAGATGGAGTGAATGGGTGTCCAAAAATCTGTCAGATTTGAGACTCCAATGGCTGGTCTCAGGAAAATTGAAATCCACTGTATCTGGATGGTAAAAACCTTTGGTGTTCAAAGTTGTAATCAACGCAGGAAGTATTCATCTGGGGGCTCATTTCCCTGACCCGGAACAAGTTTCTTGCTGAAAGCTGAAGCAGCTGGGGAAATTGTTGCACATGTTCCCAAAATAAAAATAACACGTAATAAAACTCTATGACCGCCCAAAAATGTCCGGAAACTGAGCGAAAATGGTGGTTTTTGGGCCCAAATCTCTCTCAGTCGCCAAGAACCTCAGTCGCTCGGCCGATTTTTTTTCTTCGAAATCAATGCGTCCGTCAGGGCCATACCTCGCGTGGCGTGCAACGGATCCTTTAAGGAATGGGCACTGACCAAGGGTCCACCTGAATGAATTTCTTAATGGGGTCGTACTTTCTGGGGCGCACACTATCAGGGGTACCCTCTCTAACTATGGTCACACTATGGTCACAACTGGGCGGCTTTCTTAATGCCTTCCAGCTTACAACGAACTGTCGGATGGCCATTCCTCAGTATCACTTGCACCGGAAATGGCCATCCGGCAGTACTTCGGATGGCGAATCTTCGCCAAATTTCACCATGGAACACAGGGAATGCTGAATGAATACGCCTTGCAATGGTTGTCTGAAGTTTCTGATCTGATGCTATGTTCCATATCCAAAGCCATTCACCTAAACCAGGGTTTCCAAGTTGAGGGGCCCAAGAAACAACAAACTCAATTGAGATCCTCTAAGTAATCCCAACAAATCCCAATGGTGCATGGTGCATGTTCCGATTTACCAAGTACACATTCTCAACATTTCCTTCAGCAAACCAAAGGTGAGTCACCAACAACCGGGCCATTTTCAGCTGCAAGCAACTAGGGCGGTGCACCATTCGCTCCGCCAACTTCTAGTAGAAACCGCACAATATCGTGGTCGTTGTTGTGAGCTGCAATCAACAAAGGCGTTGGACCATTGTTGCTGCCTGATCTTTGTCTGCACCAAATTCAACTAGAAAGCGCACAATGTCGAGGTGGCCATTTTGAGCTGCAACCCACAAGGGTGTTCTTCCATTTTTATCTGCTTGATCTTTGCCTGCACCAACTTCTGCTAGAAATTGTACGACGTCGAGGTGGCCATTGCGAGCTGCAGGGAATAGGGGTGTCTGCCCCTGTGCAAACTCAGGCTCATCCGTCTTTGCTCCTGCTTCCAGTAGCAGTTCCATATGCTGAACACGTCCCTGCTCTGCAGCGTGAAACAAGGGCGTCTTGCCATCTGTGTTTGACTCATCGGGATTTCGAGGTTGTTGCAGCAACTGTTCAAGAGCAACTGAATCGTTTTCCCTGGATGCTGAAATCATTTTCTCTGTTTCTACATGATCAGGTGGCCAGAATTCCAACACCACCAACTGGATCTTTACTGGAACTGGATCCAGAACTTCATCATCCTGGATCTCATGCAAACCATTTTCACTGAACAATCTATGCTTGAATCTGGAAATGCCAACCTTAGTTGCCAAGGCATTCTTCACTGCCTTGGCTGAAGAATGCCTTGCGGCCTTCATCTTCAGTCGGACTATGAGAGTCTCGCCCCATGTGGTCGGCAACACACCGAAACATGGCTGCAAGATTCTGTGGGTGATCTGTATGTACACAAAAAACGACAAACAAAATATCATGATGGATAGAATATCTGGAGACAATGTCACAAGATGTCACAAGGGACCTGTCAAAATTGTATGCACGCCAAAGCTTCTTAATAACAATTGACGCTTATACATACAATACTCCATGGTGCCCCCTGTATGTTTCCAGTTTGGACAGTCTTCAACTGCAGCATATGTGGCATGCGCAAGCAACAACGTGGGTTACATTGAGAATTTTTGGATGCCAAACATGCAGTGTCTTGATGTTTTATGATATCCCACTATATCCCACTATCCGAATATCCGGGGTCCACCATGATCGGACTTTGTTTCCACTGGGGTTTTCGGTTTTGAGATTTAGAATTCCACCACATCGGCCCACAAGACTCAAGACTTGCAGTTAAAAAACTCGCAGCCCAAGAAACGGCGCCCGTCAAGGCCACTAAGTCCTCCCATAGTTTTTCGCACTCCGAAGCGGAAGCACCGCCTCCAAAAATGAAGAAACGGCAGAGGTGTTCGTTCGCAGCGCAGCAAAGTTGTTCGATGTTTCGATGGACGTTCGGAATAAGAAAGGGAATGTGTATGTACCCTCTGGTAAACTAACGTAACTATGGAAAATCACCATTTTCAATGGGAAAATCCACTATTTCTATGGCCATTTTCAATAGCTATTTTGACATAACCAGAGGGTAAATCATATGCAACAAACATTCGGAGTGAAGATCCTGAAGATCACAATGATTTAGGGCTGAGATCATCGGTCAATCCCAAGCTGGCCACACTTGACCAGACCCAAAAAAAGTGGTATCCCAGCTGGGAACTATGATAAATCCATGATAAATCCATGATAAATCCATGATAAATCCATGGGAACTATGATAAATCCATGATAAATCCGTGGGAACTATGATAAATCCATGATAAATCCTATAGTTTTGTGTTCTATCCGCGATTGAGGCTGTTGATGTTTTGCTGATTTGAGGCTCCTTATCTTTCGCCAACTAAACCGGTTTCACCCCGGGAATGTCGTAAAACCCACTCATTAAACCACCTTTGTGTGGCGTGGTTTTCAAGACCCCCACATGGTCTGTCAGTAAAGCAGGGCATGGTTGTGGTTTCCTAAAATCATCTAAGTATATTTATGACTATCAGTAATAGTTCTAGTTATAAATGTCATTGTCATTGTTATTCTCATATCTTTGGTATATGTTTATATATTTTTATATGTTAATAATGTATGTTTATTGATTCTTACCATCATCCTCCCCGACTTTGGCCCAGCACCTCCACAACCCCAGCAGATGCCGCTGCTCTGGCCATACTTCTCCTCTGTGAGCATCGACAACGACGCCGTGGCGCGCTGCACCGGATGACCGCCACTGGACCAACCGGCGCGCAACATCTTGGTGTCCTGGAAATGGGGGAGTTCATGAGACTTGACTGGAATATTGCGAACATATGTATCTATATATATATACATATACATATATACATATATACGTATACATATATATATATATGTATATATATATATACATATACATACAAATATAGATATATGTATATTAATAGGAATATATCTGCAAATTAATGAACAGGATTCAATTTAAAAAAAAAATATAGTGCTTTTTTTTTAATTCATGGGGATTCCCCAGTTTCGTCTAGTGCGTCATGGTTTTCTCCATGCCTTGGATGATTTGAACCGGTACCAGTTTTGGTTTTTTCGGTTTTTGATGATTTTGGTCTATGGGTCAAAACCAATAGTACCCCTTCTGGTGAACATCAAAATAGCTGGGATTTATGGATGTTCATCCCATTAAAAATGGTACTAATAGGTATTGATCCATAGCCATTTTGGTCTATGGGCATCATGTTTAACCCAGATTTTGATGGGCGAACGACTCAACCAAACTGTTGGGGCCCACTTGGGTGAGGCCATTTCATGATTGCTGCTTCATTCGTGGCTTTTCAAGATAGTTCGCTGGTGCAAAATGAAAGCTGGACTTCTTCATTTTTGCGGCTTTTGAATGCTTTTGATATGTCTAATTCTTGAGATTATTCATATTATTCACATTCTCCACACATTCTCCACAGATTCTCCACAGATTCTCCACCGTTTCTTGGGATACACCTCCAAGTACCCCGAGATCGTCGGATCACCAAAGCAGGCCGAGGGTCGATCCACGAGGATGTGGGGTCGGGATCTAACCTGAGAGCCATCAGGGGATGAGGCCATACTCAAAACGTATGTAATCTGTATGTATAAGATATGTGTAGTGTATATATATATATATGTATATGTATATAATCATATATATATATATATGTATATATTACATCTAGGTATACAGTATATTAATGAATGAGATATCTATATAATATCTATATACATATGATGCATATGATGCATTATGATGCAGGATACCGGGGTGATACCTAACCATCTCTGCACCATCCGCCCCTCTCAGCCATGTTTCGTATGAATGCAAAGCTCCGGTGGGGAGCCATAACGACGGTGCATCCTTGGCCGACTCCGTCTGGTGATGTCTGGAGCTTGTGGGAATCCCATGGGAATCCCCAACGAAAGATGCAGAAAAGTCGTCAAGTCAAGTGAAATGGTGGTTTTATTTTTTGCAAATGATAGGTTTTGGTGATTTTAGGCGCTATTTTTTGGGGGGTGGTGAACTTAGTATAGTATCAAAAGGGGAAATTATCATAAAGACATACCGATCATGACCACATTGAATTTCATTTATCAACTTTCATCTCAACGTGGAAGAGGTTGCAAATGTTAGATTTCATGGGTTTTTAGGGCCCTTTTAGGCCCATCTTGGTGATGACCCTAGGGACCCTAGATTTTGACCCAAGGCGATAAGTGCATGGTGATGAACCTCAAATGATGTGAATCAATGTGAATCATAGGTCTCCCATCTCCATGTCAATGTTCAGAACTCACAAGACTCTCCGGAAGCCCTCGAATGGGTTGAGAACAGGATTCTTAATCCATGGATATCATGAAGAAAAACACGTGTGTAGATTGTCCCCTTCAAAGTCCACTCAATGCGTCCCAAGATTCTCTTTGATGATCCTTAGACTTCCAGTGCAATAGCATCAACAGGAACAACGGGAAGTGACCTACAAGATGGCCCCTGGTGAAGCCACATCCTGCAACCATTTTGGGGCTGTCCATTCAGGTACCTGTATGGATCCAAAAATGCTAAATTTGCCCAGCCAATTGACCACTTGGAGCCAGTATTCGGGTGAGTTCTGACACTGGGATGGCTATGGTGAAGAAAAAAAAACGGCCCTAGGTTTTTGGAGACTGCCATGAAATTTTTCGCCATGCAAGCGCCAGTTCCTGTCTGCATTTGCGACACCAAGCGACATGATATCGCAGAGCTTGCTTAGGCTGTAGGCATGATGAGCCGAGTAGCCTGCAACAAAATTCATAAGACTTACGCCCTTATCCGTCAAATGAAAGAAGCAAGATGCGTTGCCTTCGGCAAACAGAACTTCAATTCTCACCTCAAAATCATGTCATGTGGTTCTTTTTTCTCAGATTCTGTTGCGCATCAGCAGCAACAAAATCTTGTCCCTATCTGGTTGGTGGTTTGAACACCTCTGAAAAATGATGGAGTTCGTCACTTGGGATGACATGACATTCCCAATCATTCCCAACTGAATAAAAAGTCATAATCCATTCATGTTCCAGTCACCACCAATCAGTGATGATTAACCATCATTAACCATCATTAACCATCATTAACCATCATCAACCATCATTAACCATCATTAACCATCATTAACCATCATTAACCATCATTAACCATCATTAACAATCATTAACCATCATTAACCATCATTAACCATCATTAACCATCATTACCCCATACATTTCACCAATGTTCCAGTCACCAACCAACCAGCCTGGCTGCTTCAAAAACCTGGCTTTGGCGGATCCGCGCCTTGTTCCAGTTGCAAATCCGTAAGGCCCTGGTGATATCCAGCCGACATCGAACTCGTGATGATCAAGCGCCCTCGCCGAAAAAAAAACCAGGTGATTTTGCCATTTTGGATTGGCGATTTGTGTCATCACAAAACAGTTTTTTTTTCATATAAGAAATTAGAAAATGTGGACCCATGACCATTGTGGACCCTGGTCCGAGGAAACAAGAGGGCACCATTTGCAGCGGTGAGTGAGGTTTAAGGCCCTTTTTGAAAACCACAAACGAAATGGAATGGTATGGAGTCTTAACCACTGCATGATGAATTTCATCTGGCATCAATGGAGAGAACAGTTGACCTTCGGTCTTGGTGCTGTCAATGGGCACAGTTCGAAAAGGAGGGAACTCAAAACCTGCCAAAAACCCTAGCAGTTTCGCTAGCCGCTAGCTGCACTGCCTGCACCAGAGGCTTTCACATTTTCCATCAGCAGCGAGCTCAGCAAGAACGGGGCCAGTACATTCCTTGGCTCGTCTTGGTGTCTCCGGTGGCATTTCACATGAAATTTGGTTCCACGTTCTGAATCCAACGGCTGGTACCTGGTAAGGGCCAGTGTCATATCCTATCTGTACGTCCTGAGCTAATCCCATGTAGGGATGGACGATACGAAGAAAATCAAGCAGGTATTCCCAAACAACGGTATGCAGCTATATGATATACCAACAAGAAATGTAAATTCAGATTGTACTTGTTGGTGAAATGTTCGATCCATCTTCTGCTTATGGTACAATCAGAGATATGACACAACTGTGACGGTCATTTGGATACCAAAGCATCACTGCCAGGCTATACTCGTTGCCCTCCGTTGTGACCACTCCTGGCAAACCACGGAAGATTTCAAAGAAATCCGGAAAAAAGGAGAGATGTAGCACCAAGAATGGGATTTCAACCGAAGATTGGAGTTGAATCTCAAAATGCTGCAGATATCTCAGCTTTATGTGTTATGTATTGTTATATGATGTAAAAAAAATGTCTTCATATTAGTACCTCTCACATCTTGCCCAAAAAAATTGCCCTAATATCTGCCAAAAATTCAATGGCTGCCAAATTGCCGGCGCCAAGGGACGCTTGCCGGTGTAGTCCCCATCAAAGGTGCCCGCATTGTTGAGAAGTCCGTTGAGCACTGGAAACCTGGCAAACGTGAAGTTAAACGTGACATCAAACAGCACAAACAGCACCGTTTGGGGTTAGCTTCTTAGCTTATTGGATATTAAATGCGTTATATAATATATAATATATATATAACTATAACTGATTATATATTTCATGTAATTATATATATATTACAGTTTGTACTGTAAATACATATAAACGGGTTAAGGTTTTATTGGCGTTGTCCACCTCACTTGGGGAGGTCCATGTTCTCGGTTCATCTGGAAGCTGTTCACAGTTGATATTCCTCCTAAATATGGTCCGATAGGTCAAATGACCCGTAGAAATATATTAGAACATACCCTCTGGTGAACTAACATAGCAATTGAAAATGGCCATAGACATAGTGGATTTTCCCATGAAAAATTGTGATTTTCCATTGCTATGTTAGTTCACCAGAGGGTATTTGAAATTCAAATTGTACCCTCCCAGGTTTCAGTCATCTAGATATCCAACTTGATGTGTCTAAAGACCCCTGGATTTACCGAGCTGAGCTAATCATTTCCGGGGTTGTTAGTTATCGCAATATATCGCAATAGTTTATTCCACACTAATGGAAGCCACCAAGAAGTCACTAAGTCACCGATCAAGAATTGCCTGGTCCTCCATACCCAATGAGATGACAAAATATGACAAAATCATCTTTAAGATCACCACAACAAAATCCCAGTCCTGGTTTGGACTTCAAGTACTGCTGGCAAAACCCACAGGGGACGTTTCCAGAAACTTCGACCTCCAAGACACTTCTCCTTGACCTCCGCAGCCAGCTTGCGCACCTCTGACATCAAGCTGAGATCTGCCACGAATCCTGGGGGAGGCTGCCAGCGACTGGTGATACGTCCCGACGACTATTTGGTGATATCTTTGCACCCATATCTCGTCATATCTCGTATACTTCAATGAAAAATTGGAGAAATTGAACATCAAACAAAATGGACAATTAATATCAATTAATATCAATTAAGAATTAGAATCCGGGCAACTGGCCCACAGTTTAGCAAGTTTAGTTGCAAAAATCACCCAGTCTTTCTGGGGCAGAAACCCCAAGTCTTTCCAGCTCAACTCGGCCAGCTACCATGTACTTCGGCACCACTCAGCTTCTGCAATCGGCTCACGGTGCGCTCCACCCGTTGCGGCTTGCGGCCGTGTACCAGCACCACCTGGTTCTTCCGTGCCAGCTGCTCTGCGGTGAAGTGGCCGATGCCTCAGGATCTTCAGCATGAAGATTCAACCCATGAAATTAAATTGTTACCCTCTGGTAAACTAACATAGCTATGGAAAATCACCATTTTCAATGGGTAAATCCACTATAAATGGATATTTTCAATAGCTATGTTAAATTACTAGAGGGTACCTGATGTAAGAATCAATGGGGATGGGGAAGGTGTGATTGTGACTGCGGCTTCTTGAAAACATGCGAAAAAAGCAGCCTAAGACAAGCAGATGTTGTACCATCCAAGAGAAAAGAGCTTGACCATCTCAATCTATATGGATCTAAGATGATCTGACCATCAAACGTGGATGAGATCATCCAAGATTGGTTCTTAGAACATTCCAAAGCCTGGCTGAAATTTGATCTGCAGCCATGTGCTTAGTCAAATTAGTCAAATATTCCGAGGGGAACCACAGATCTTGGCTTTGGTTGATGGATGTTGATGGCCTGGCTTCCATCCCAGAAAAACCACACACACACACACATTTGCTCAACTAGCTGACTAGCAGCATCTTCCCAGGGCAAATCATGGAAAATCTCAAGAAAATTGAAACATCTTGAAACACCTTGCTATCACCAAGCAGTGGAAGTTGGGCCAAGGCACCATCAGTCGCGCCAGTGACCTGAAGAACTGGGAGGTATTTCCATTCACCAAGTTCTGACCATTTGAGGCAGCAAGACTAGGGTTGTGTTTGAGGGTACCTCACTTGACTCAGATCCAATCCTGCGAGCGGTGGAGTAGCCATTGCTATTGGCGCACCATTGAGTTCCAGCCCCACGTGACTCACGTGACCGAAAAAGATTCTGATAGATCTGATAGTCCCTCTAAAGCAATGGATGATCCCTCCCCGACTAGTGGCTTCATAAGCACAAATCCCCATGACTCTGCGGGAGGACCACAGGATGCCAAGACACCAGGTAGACGCCACAGGTGGGAGGAAGACCGGCCTCGCCAACGGCAGGTCATTGGATCCAAAAAATGGATGCTGTACCCTCCGGTAAACTAACATAACTATGGAAAATCACCATTTTTAATGTTTTCAATAGCTATGTTAGTTTACCAGAGGGTAAGACATTGTCGGACTAAACCTGGCAAAAAGTTCTTAAAATGTTGAAGTCTCAAAATATAACTTATCCCAGAAGCTACAAGTCTATCTGTACCATCTGCAGGTTTGCATGTGAAGTGATCTGAACTGTACTTCCATATTTGGGGATAGCTATGGACTCGCTGGACACCTGACGCCTTGCGGCGCCTCGCGCCTTGTAGCCGGACATCAGGTTGCTCCCCTGGCGATCATCCCCCTGTGGGATGGACGAATCATCCATAACTGCCATAACTGCTATTGCCATAACTTATCTGAATCATTCGTCCACAGAGTTATGGGAGATTTTTCACATGGTTATGGGAGTTAAACCATCTGGATGATCTGGATTCTGGATTATCTTCATTAGTTCCGATGGTTTATATAGTTTATATCTGAATCATCCCCCTTCATCTGCAGAAATGAAGAAAAGACCATCGGAACCCAAAGTCCTTAGGCAGGTTCCTGCTGCCCAGATCCCAGGGAGTCAAGACTTCCATGGAGGTGATTTGATGAATTGGGCATGGGTCAGAATGTGGTTTATGACCCCCAAAAGTGGGATGCTTGGCCACCAAAAGATGGACCAAAAGATCCCATTGGTCCAATGTTGACTTTCTGGGGGCCCTGGGGGCCCTGTGGCGGGATTTCATAAAATCCCACGACCAAAGAATCTGCGCCTGCCAGAAACTGAGTGTCAAGGACAAGCCCAGCAGCAACCCGCCCTTCCAACGGAATCTCATGGACGCGTTGCGGTTGTCCTGGTTGGATGTTAACGTACAACGGAAGATCCTGGAGATGTTTCAAAGCTATGAATGGATATGAGATGATATGAGTATGAGACAGTCAGAAGGTTTAGTTCCAAATTGTTTTTGCGTGAAGATGCAGCATGGCCCAGAAAAGCAGAGCATGGCCACTTGCTTCATCTGAGCCCAAGCTGCGTGTGTTTGATGTCAAAGATGGTTGGGAAACCTCGGCAGGTCGACTTTGCAGTGCACTCAACGCCTGAACGATCAGTTGAGTCACTTCATCTTGAATAAATGTCAGTTTTTTTCTGAGGCTAAGTGTCTTCCAGTCAAGACATACATAGACATACCCAATCCTATTCAACCCTTGCCCCTGCTTCCAGACTTGCTCCAGCAAGCCCAGCTACACAAGGGATGCCATTGAAATCAGAATGAAAAATGGATGATCCTGATGTCACAACTAAGATGTGAATCCGGGGATCAAAATCATGTCAATCATGTCAATCTCAACTGACTCGAGGGATGACACCCATTCCATCCACGTGTCTCTATGCAATGCACATCTTTTTCTCACTTCTTTCGCAAGTCTTTGATGACTCCATCCACCTGCAGACTGAAGCAATCTGCTATTTTTTCGTGCAGGGCTGACCTGGTAAAATGGATCAAAATCCTCACAGTAGATGAATATACATCTTAGTTCATATATGTTCATATTATATGTTAATCGTTTTGCACGCCCCATCTGGTGACCAAAAAATGCCCAAAGGAAGCGGTGGAAAGATGTCCAAACATCCGCGTTCATCGGATTCGAACATGTGACCCCCTAACCATATCATCATAACCAGGATTTTTTGCAGTGATCATGATCATTTCATCATCCAATGGATTCAAATGTGTCATTCAAACCCAACAGTATTGGCAACTACTTATATGAACTTATATTGAAAAGGGACCAAATTGGATACCCCAAAATGCGATTTGTTGCAACAATGTCATGCTCTTGAATATTACCTATCCCCAGACATGCTATTTGATGCTTGAAAGTTGGAAACAAACCCAGTTTTACCCAGGCTTAGTGGCTCAGCAATCGCTACTTTACAAAAATGTCCATGTTTTGCTGATAAGTCGCCTTTTCTGGTCCTGAACCACTGAAAATAAAAGGTTTTCAAGTAAAAAAAAAACACAAAAACACCTTGGCATCGTTCCATGGATGTTCCATGGCTTCACTAATGAAAAAATCCCCCCCCGAAACCGGCGCCGACCTTCACGGCCACCAGGTCAAAAAGCTCCGGCGCTTCGGTCTTCAGTTGGTCGGCCCAAACGCCAGACCTAATGGGAACATCATTTGGTTGATGATCATGGTGAAATTTATGGATTAATGATGGATTAATGATGGATTAATGATGAGTTAATAGTGGTTAATGAGTGTTAGTACCTGTTAATGATGATTAATCATTGTTAATATGTGTTGGTCAATCATGGATACTAACGGTTTATACTGTTTTTTTTTCATAGTAAGTGTGGGCTGTTAATTATTGATAGTTGTCAATGGTTAATAGTTGTTGACTATTGGGTAAAGCGGGAAAGAATGGTTGATACCAGTTATTCACCCGGTTCATACATCGTTGATAAATTAACCGTCATTCATCCAGTCAATGAATGTCAACAATGCGGTTTCTAACTGTTAATGTTAGTGGTAATGATTGTATAAGTATGCAATGACAATAGTTATTCAGTTATTCATTACCATTCCACAACAAAAAGCAGTAACAGTGATCTAATCATGAATAACAGAATTGGATAATGGTGATCAACAACCAATCCAGATTAATCAACTAAATTTGATCATTTACCTGGTTTGATCCATCAAAAATTGGAAGTAACTAGCAACTAGCCAAAATGGGAGGCCCGAACATAACTTTCAAAATGCTTGTTCCGCCAGCAAAAGATGTGGCGGGATACCACCGTCACATGGCGGTCATATGAGTCCATGGATTGGTTCGCGATTACGGATGGTAACCGGCTAAACCCAAAGCAGGAGCTAAACCACGCACAGAAAAACGCCTGGCGATGGCATGTACTTCCATGGTTTATCAGTTTTTGTGCCGTTTCTCAACGCTGTAGCTGCTAGCACACCTGCTCCTTCACGGACCATGCAAGCTTTGCATCATTAGCGTTGGATTTTCCATGTTTAGCAGCGAACAAAAACCGCAGTTTTAGACTGAAAATAAACAACGCAACGAAAACAAGAACGATGACTCGCTGAAGTGGCAATGCAGATAAAGACGTTCAAAAATATTGCAAAATTGTGCATGTATTAACTCAGAATGTGACTTTTGTTTCAACAAATGTAATGTCTTAACGTACAAGACTACAGCATGACTACAGCATATTCGTTGCTAGAGGTGCTGTCCTTCAGTTGCTGCGGGTGCTGGACTTCCACAAGATGCCACAGTTACAGTAAATGCTGCAGTCATGTAAGTCGCTACAGATGCTGTATTTTCCAGTCTGTTCTAGGTGCAGTAAATTAAGTTGTTATAGATGCCACAGTTCGCTGAATTTCTTACAGAGGCTGCTGCACTTACTTAAGTTGCACGACATGCTGCAATTGCCGCAGGTGCTGCATTTCCCCAAAGTCATCTAGATTCTAGATGCTACAGGTGCTGCGCAACCTGCGGGTATTGCTACAGTTGTTCAACAAATCAAACAATATAGAAAACCTCACTAGTTACAATCCCACCCATTGCTTCTGAAGCGAATGACAATCAAAGGCATGCTGTACACAAACAATTTTTATTGGCGTGTTGAAAAGTACAAATCACCACTGTTGTTTTCTCCATGATCGATGGTTTATGGTGATGATGTGCTGCTGAGCAACAGCCGTTGGTCCCAACCCAGCTGGTACATGTAGGAGGTGTTCCTGGGTCACCATGAAAATTCAACATGTTGAATCCCAGATGTTTGTTTGTGAAATCTCCATGTATGGTTAATCCCCCCTTTCGGTGAATTTTAATTGTGTGTTGGTTAATGTCCTTAATTAAATTTGATGTTTCAATCCGAATTGTCGTGAATGAAATCTGAGTTGATGCGGTTTCATTCCCTACTTTTGTGAGTTAACATCCCCCTGTGGCAGCTATGGCTAATCAGACAGCCATCCTAAAGTCACCGAGAAACTCATCGCCACCGAGTTCGAATTTGGTGTCATGTGCGATGTTGTACACCTCAAGGCTGAGACCCTACAGATTTCTGGTGTCAAGACCCAACGGAGGATTGGCATCCAGCCACAATTTGCGATGAAAATGCAATTCTATATAAACCCATCTGCATGACAAATACTTATGTAAATATATATATATAGTCTACGTTCTATATTTTTTTTCTGTCTCTGTATCTCTCTACCTACCTACCTATCTATCTATCTTTCTAACTATCTATCTATCTATCTATCTATCTATCTATCTATCTATCCATCTATATATATATATATATATATATTACCTATTTAAACACATATATATGTTCATGTAAATATTCCATGTGTATATAAATATTGTATATATATATATAATAATAATATCCCTAAATATATTTTTAAATATTTATATACATATATAAATACATATATACACATATATGTGTATAAAATATTTCTTTACATATATATTCTATTTGTCTAGTTGTTTATATGCTATATATATGTCTGTGTGTGTATCCTGTTGATATTTAAATATATATATATACTCTAGATATACATTCTATATATATATATATGCATTCTATACATACATTCTAAATATGTATATATATATATATCATATATATATATATGTATATTCTATACATAGAAATTCTATGTATTATATACATCCTATATGTATTCTATATATTTAAATAAATGAATCAATTCTGTCTATATACGCACATACGCATACATGTGTATATGATTTGTTTACATAAATATTGTCTTTGTCTATTTATATATCTATATACCAAATATATATATATGTGTTTAAGTATGCATATACATATATGTATCCTGTTTGAATTTCTATATATGTATATATTCTAGATATACATGATATATATATACATATATGTGTGTATTCTATGTGAATATATATTAATTCTAAATATACTTGTATATATATATATACATTCTATAAATAGATATTCTTTATATTATATACATTCTATATGTGTTCTATAATATACATTCTACTAGTAGTACCGCACAAGGCGAGTTGTTGTGACGCATGGATGGCAGAGCGAATCCACTCATGGACCGAAAGGTGGTTGGAGTTTTTTCCCAGTGGTTGCAGTGGTCACCTCAACCACAACTGCTGGATGTAGTGTGGTGTAGCGTAGTGCAATGTAATTGTAGTTGCAGTTGCGGTTGCACTTGTAGCTGTACTTGTACTGTAGTGCAGTTGCAGCTGTAGCTATAGTTAATGTTTTGGTAGTTGCAGTTGTAATGCTGTAGCTGTAGCTGCAGTAGTCGTTGTAACTGTTGTGCTTGTAGTAGTTGTTGTAGTTATTGTGCTTGTTGTAGTTTTAGTTGCCGTCGTCGTCGTAGCAGTTTAAGTGTTTGTTTTTGTTGTTGTTTCTGTTCTTCTTGCTCTTCTTGCTCTTCTTGTTGTTCTTGTTGTTGTTCTTGTTCTTGTTCTTGTTCTTGTTGTTGTTGTTGTTGTTGCTGTTGTTGTTGTCGTTGTTGTTGTTGCTGTTGCTGTTGCTGGTGCTGTTGCTGTTGTTGTGGCGTGTGGCGTGTGGCGTGTGGCGTGTGGCGCGGTTGAACGTCCAAAAGTGGTCCGAGCATGTGGTCTTTTTTTGTGCCATTTTGACTTCGAAATGTGCTTCGCGCCACAAGGGCGTGCACTTTTCCACATCTGAACCTCCAAAAGTGGTCCGAGACCCTCAGTTTTTCACACTTTTGAGTTGCGAACATGCTTCGCGCCACAACGGCGCGCACTTTTTCAACAGCTCAACTTCCAAAATTTCCCAGCATGAGATATTTTCTAGCATTTTGACTTGAAAATGCGTCGCGCCACAACAACGGCACTTTTTCAATAGCTCAACTTCCAAAAGTGCCCCCAGCATGAGATATGCATCTTGACTTGAAAATGTGCTTCGCGCCACAACGTCGGCACTTTTTCAACAGCTCAACTTCCAAAAGCGCTGAGAGAATAACCTTTTTTGAGCATTTTGACATGAAAATGTGCTTCGCGCCAAAACAACGGCACTTTTTCAATAGCTCAACTTCCAAAAGTGCCCCCAGCATGAGATATGCATCTTGACTTGAAAATGTGCTTCGCGCCACAACGTCGGCACTTTTTCAACAGCTCAACTTCCAAAAGCGCTGAGAGAATAACCTGTTTTGAGCATTTTGACATGAAAATGTGCTTCGCGCCACAACGGTGTGCATTTTTTCAACCGCTCAACTTCCAAAAGTGCTCTGAGTATGAGGTATGTTTGAACATTTTGACTTGAAAATGTGCTTCACACCACAACAGCGTGCATTTTTTCAACAGCTCCACTTCCAAAAGGGCTCCGAGCATGAAAGTTTTTGGAACAGTTTGACTTGAAAATGTGCTTCGCGCCACAACAGCGTGCACTTTTTCAACAGCTCAACTTCCAAAAGTGCTGAGAGCATGAGGTATGTTTGAGCATTTTGACTTGAAAACGGGCTTCGCGACACAACAGCGTGCACTTTTTCAACAGCTCAATCTTCACGTTCATTTTTTCATCTTCGTCCACATCGATCTTTTTCATTTTAATCTTCATTTTCTTCAGCTCCTTCATCTTCATCTTCTGCATCGTCACCATCGTTCATGTTCCGTGATTGTACAAGTAATGTGTCAACGCCGCCAGCATTGAACAGAACACATTCAAAACACGGCATCCCTTTGGTCACTTTCAGCCCCACCTCTTCCGAACAGGACGGAACAGGTTGGTGCGAACCTTCGGGGGAGAAGTGGTTGAAAGTCTGAGATCAACAACGTTCTACTAACCTCCACTTCAACCTGCTCCATGAAAGAAAAGACACTGTCCAGGCAACATAACATCATCTGGCGGCGTTCTAGGTGGTGGCCCAGGTGGAGTGCCGGGTGCTGCACGTGGTGGTGGTGAGCGGCTTCGTTCAGGTCTGCGCTCCCACCATACGGGATGATCAGGAGGAGGCAGAATCCAGTCTGACCTAGGCACGAGAGATGGATGTTGAAGGGAACGAGACATCATGCGTGCAATGTGCAGATGACGGTTTAGTTAAAGCAAGTGATGTCAACGATGCTGGCTTCACCATATATAGATTTTCCAAGGCGCTCCCAAAAATCGTCCTCAAAGACCAAGTCCCCGCAACTCGATGCCACCTCCACGTCCGTGCCCTTCTTTGGCTTTGCCGCAGCCATAGGACGTGCGATCTTGGGCGCCATAGCTTCCAAAGTAGGTGGGCTGTAGTAAATTGACGCTTAAATGGCTTCATCAAAACATTTTGCACAAAGGATGTGACAGCAAGATCGAAGGATGCATCGCAGATAAAATTTTCCAGATGTCTTGTGGATGAGAAATTACAAAATAAATATTTAAAAAAAAAACATTTTCCAGAAGTCTTGGGTAGCAGAAAGATGCAAAACCAAAAAAACTTCGAGAAAACCAAAAAAAACAACAAAAAAAAAATCCAGAGGTCTTGGAAATGGAAGAGGTTAGGCAAGAGACTCAAGATATTGTTTTTTTTGTTTTTTTTTGGTTTTTCCAAGGTTTTTTGACTTTTCTCTAAGGGGCCCTCCCCAAAGAGTTTCCAAATATTGGTTTTTTTGGTTTTTCTAAGGTTTTTTGACTTTTCTCTAAGGGGCCCTCCCCAAAGAGCCTTAGAATATTGATGTTATTGGCTTATCCACCACTTGACTTTGTATTTCTTTGGATCACACTTCCTTCATTGTACACTTCATTCATTGTTATATTTGTATCTTAATTTGGAACAATTGATTACCATACATTCAACAATATCATAAACTATTGTAAATATCATGGTAAAGCAATAAAACCTTGGCTTGGGGGGGTACCATATATATATATATATATGTACTGTATATACATACATACATATTTAATTATATATATATATCATACATACATGTATATATATATATAATGGCACTATTGTATTGTCTTTTGTCTGCCTCACGGGTTGATTTTGTCGCGGACGAGACTATCAAGTTGCTCGGATCAAACCTTTCATCTCGTTCCTTGGTGGGTTGGGTCAGGCTCTGGTGTCATTTCGGATGACCATTCGAGCAGAAACTGATTGCTGACCACGGGTATACGAAAGAAATTTAAAGTGAAACAACATCAAGAGGCTGATTAAGCGGCAACAACCATCAATGTTGGAATGTAGCAATACTCACTATTTTGAGTGGGACAACCATACTCAGCACAATGATCATTCAAGCCTCAATGTCTACATTGATGAACCAATCCTGGAACCCATATCTGGCGGTCGGTCAAAATCTACGGTCACACTGGCAGAATTCCACAACTGATGTCCCAATGTCAGCTGAAAGGTGTTAGAACCCAGTGACACTTTACTTTCTGTCGATCTCCCCCGTAGATGTTGGCTTTCACTCAAAGAAAAGACCCCCAGCAGCTTGCGCAAAGGATCCCAGCAGATTTGCCAAGCCAAGCGCAGTGCAAATCCATTTCGTAATACAAGGCACGCTTGCCCTTCCTCGGGCGCTGGCGTTGGGGGGAAACAAACACCATCCGCAGCCCTGGTGTTTGGGGGGTGCAGTTGGGATTACTAATTGATACTCTCTGGTTATTCAACATAGCTATGGAAAATGGCCCATTTATAGATGGTTTACCAAGAAAAAATGGTGATTTTCCATGGCTATGTTAAATAACCAGAGGGTATAACCATGGTGATAACCTCCATGAGTTGGGATATCACCCCTATAATTATCGGTATACAACCACTTTTTTTCTGGAACTGCCGCCCCACGAGCTCTTGCACATGTCTAGCGGTGCGAAATTCCTATCACGTGCCCATATTGCATCCTACATAATTCAAGATGTGCAAACTGTTATCATCTTGATCCCAGTCTTTTCCCGCATTTCTACATCCAGGTCATCTTGTCCTTGGTGAATGTATATGTATAATTGATATTACACGTGTTACCCTAGAATCCATTGGATACTGCTGGTTAAACTTGGATACTGCTGGTTAAAAGGAACAATTTCAAGCTGCATCTTCATGAAGTGGTTTACCTACATGTTTTACATATTACATCATTTTACATGTTCCACACCTCCAAAAAAACATGCCCCCCAGTCAACAGGAACATCCCAGCTGAATGTCTTGTTGGTGATGGAGGCAGTGACCTGGCAAAAAAACGACCCAAAAAAACCATTGAAAGGGCGGAACATCTGAACCAAAGCTTGGGATCTAAGTGATCTAAGCTGCAAGAATGGAACATGATAAAGGATCAAATTTTGATTAAATCCAGATGTTAGCCCGATTCACCATGGAATAAGCCTGATTCAAAATGAATAATTATCCATCTGAGAAAAAATCCAGGATTGAGCCTGATTAAGATGGAAGGTTGAGCATCAAATGAGATTTAGCCATTTAGCCAGCTATACAGCTACATCAACTGGCAGATTTTGACCATGACAAACTGAGGAACTGAGCATCGATCTTTAAACCCCCTTTCAATGGGGGACTTGGTCATCCACGTACCAGGGTGGTACGTACCATCCAAAATGAGTTATCATAACACCATCACAACTTGTGTCAAAACCATGATATATTATGATCAAAAGCATGATCATTATGATCATTATCAACAGGAATATATCATAATATATCACTGGATCATCCTGAAGACCCAAGAGTTGGTGAAACCCCAAAAAATTTGGTTGCTCAAATCCTCCTCCTTGGGCTAAACTGCCCGTTGGGCATCTCACCTCTTGGCATCAACACGTTCGAAGCCCTGGGGGACCCCTTGGTGCTTGGGTGTTGACCGTGGCTACCAGGAAAACCAAAAACTGGCGTCATCCAGCCATCCTCAAAGACTCGCAGAACCCGCAGCGCCTTTGACTGCTCCTGTAATTCGACCTAAGAACACCAGCGTGGTGGGAGGTTCCATGCGAATTCCACCTGCTAGGAATTTTCAAGTAAAGTTATCAAGGGAGGCTCCGCTGAGAACAGGAGGTTTCCTGAACATTTCACCGAAGTTGACTGAAGAATCTCTGTGCCTCTCAGCCCGAGATGTCCGAGATGCTTCTGTGAAATTTCTCTCGGATTTCTTCCAAAAAAATTGGGGTTTCAGGTACCAGAAAATCCACATCTGCCATTTTTTGGTTCCCTCAAAACAAGCCGAAGCACGATTTGGATCGTTGCTCCATTCTCCGCTGTATGGGTAACGCCAATGACCTGGGACATAGCGAGAAAATCAGCTCCTATCTCTGTTGGTAAAAATTGAAATGATGGATGGCTTGACAATGCAGTAAAGTCAACAATGAGCTCCGTAATTTCAAGCTTGATGAAGCCCCCCAAATGGCAAAAACAGCAATGATTCAAGGTTTTGCGTTCACTCTTCTGGATTGGTTCTCGATACAATTTTGATTGCGTACTGCGACCCCATTTGTGATGGTTGATATTTCATGTCTCACATCATTACAATTGTACGTGTATATATATATAATTTTTATATATACTGTGTGTAATATGTTGTAACATATTCATGTCCATCATCATGTTCATTATCAGTATATGAGTCATAATTCATCGTGTGTTCTATTGTGTTAAAATATGTCAGTTCGAGCTGCGGCTTCTTTCACCCGACTCATGGTCCAGTGGGAGAAGTCTTGCTCAGTGAGGTATTCGCCTGAAAAATGACGCGATCGCCAGTGTTTGGTTGGGTAAATCGCAGGTTTCCTTGATTAAACCACCACTTATGTTCGGGAAATGCCTGTTTTTTGTCTACCGTCCAGCAATACAACCTAGCTATAAAAATCACATAAAATCACAGTGTTTAATAGGTAACGTAAATAAGTAATTGTCCATAGCTAATATCTTAAATTACCAAAGGGCAAACCCCAATCTCAATCCCCATTTTTTGGTCAGGAAACTAGCAGCAGAGTACTTTCTGTGGTGCACTCAAACTTGAGGACTGTTCTCCAGAGATGGGCAGTACAACTACAGCCCCAACCCCTCCAAAGAGTCAGGAAATCAATCACTGAATGGTAAAACCATCGGCAGAAAGTGCAGATAGGACATGTCATGTGAGAATGGAAAGGCACCTAAGCGTACAACATCTTACGACCATAATCCAAAAATTGATGCCCATATTGAAGCTTAGAAACACTCATGGGTCGCTGAAAAACAACATCAAGTGAAGTGAGTAACATGCAGTCCCACCAAAATATGAAAAATATGACGCATGTTCATGGTTCACGGTGTGGGTAAATGCTCAAAAGAAGATGATTCAAACATCTGGATGTCTGATCCATGGATTCCCCTCGTGAGGCCCTCGTGTACCATGCCAGGTCGCTGCTTACTTGGCTGGAATATCCTGTGCCACAGAAGGTTCACACCATCGCAGTGTGAAGAAAATGTTGTGTACCCCTACACCCAATAGATTCCAATGGTTTTGCTGATCATTATCCCTATTAAATGGCTATTTCATTGGGGGTATACCCCATTTTCAGACATACCCATATTTTCGTGTGTGTGTGTGGCCAAACCATGTTGTATTCAAACCATGTGTCACCCCAAAGCTTCTTGGATGAGAAAAAGATGAAAAAGTATTCCTGAGAACTCCAAAAGAGACCTTGTGGCTGTTCTGATTGCACCAATTTGCTCTCTATTGGAATTTTCAAATCCAAAATACCCCATTCGCAAATGATTGTCCAATGGGATCTCCCGCCAGGTTAGATGATCTCAGAGTGTTGATCTCACAGTTCCCGTTGCGCTTCCTAAGTCAGCAACTGTCCACGGCGCCCCTGACCTTCACCCTTCACTTCTTTTCCCTGAAGCCGGTGCACTTCCGCGGACTTTTCCTCAAGGTGTGATAGCAAGGCCCACCTTGTCGATGTACCGGGGGCAACCGGCTTTTCCCATGTCTGGTAATGTACTGTAGAGTGGTGCTATAGTTTGGATTCTCGATCATTTTGGACTATATACCATTTTTCTAGAATGGTTTTTTACTTTGGAATTGGGTCATTTTGGGGATAACCAATCAATGATTTCGTGGTGACTTCGTAGTGAATAAATCACCTAGATTTCTCTATGATCCCACATGTTTCTTCACACTCCCATGTTTCTTGGTAAAGCCTCCGTTTTGATGGCAGAATCCCCTGCTGCAATTCTTCAACCCCTGGCCAGCGACGTTGGTCTTCTGTTGTTGCTTCCTTTCCAGCTCCGCTTCGGCGGATGCTTTCAGCTTCTTCAACCGCTCCACCTGCTACTCCAAGTTGGTGAACTGGAAACCGCAAAGTCTCATCTGGGCCAAACCAACCGAAATCAGGGAATTCATACTGCTGGGTCGAAATTCTCATCAGATCAATCCATCATCAACTCCTCAGATCCTCCATGAATTGTAGCACCCCGCCCGCTGGCGCCTCCCCTTTGAGACGGTGCTGCTCCGCCAAACTTTGGGCGACAGCCTTGGCGTGCCTCAGACACCCCGCCGGCGCCGGAGGCAGGTGGTAAGTGGCTAATGACCCGTGTACAAGCCATAAGCCAGTTGATATTATATATATATATATAAAATCCAGTTGCAAATGCTGCTAAATGGGATGGTTCCTTCATTTGAAGATGGATTGTTAAGCTCTTGTTGGGATGCACAGAACTCACAATAATTCCTTGGAAGGCTGGAATAGTTGCCGGCATCTGCCCACAGGCGATACTCAAAATGACTTGCGCAATCTGGATCCATTTCTCCCAATGTTCACCAACATCTAATATGAATTTGACAAACGCCAATCTATGAGGTATATAAAATGGTTTTTCTAACCTGCTCCTGAAATTCCGGTTGTGAATTTTAAAAAAAACTACAGAACCTACGATTTTGATGATGACCATGGCCCGACATGGCATTCCCTGGACCTCAAATTTGACCCAGATACTGCAGAGCTCGGGACATGTCGTCCACTGCCATTCCTTGGACAGCGTCGCCATCGAGCTGGGTCAAAACACTATTACAATCCTCTTAGGAAAAATAGAAGGGCCGGTCTGGTAAATGATTATTGCTATTACCATCTGGTCATTTAACATAGCCATGGAAAATCACCATTTTTAATAGGTAAACCATCTATAAATGGGCCATTTTCCATGGCTATGTTAAATAACCAGAGGGTATTATTGTCTACCCTTCTATTCATCAACCAGTGGAAAAAAGGACATGTCCTGAATGGTGTGATTTGGTGCACTTTTGCCAATCTCAACTGACCCAGTTCTGCCTTTTTTGGGGGGATACCTGCATTACAAAAACATCTAAGCATCCAATTGAACAGGCTGGATATGATGCATTTTCGCGAGACTTCTGCAAATGACACAGTGAAAGCCCTAATGTGGTCACCTTTCACCCAGACTAGTCATCCATGGTGGGATTGTCTGCTTCCCAAGAACAGCTCGCCGGCCGCGCCATGTGGGAAATCATCACTTCCGCCAAGCGTCCGAACTCCTGCAAAGCTTCCTGGTCCGCCGGATCTTGACCGGACGATCTTCGGATGTTCATCTACCCGGCCTGGTAAACATACAAAAAACCATGGAAAATCACCATGTTTAATGGGTAAATCAACTATAAATGGTGTATTTTCAATAGCTATGTTAAATTACCAGAGGCTATCCAGTTTTCGGATGATTCGTATTGATCCACAGTCGCAGAATTGGGATATCAAGCAACGATCAGATATAAAGAAGGAAAACGACTGGCTTCACATACCGTATATGTATTATTCTAGAATGATAAACTGAGTTGTTCATACGGATGACCCAAGGATTATCCCAATTTGCAGACGAACCCATAGCACATATCGGTTATATCAGTTATATCGCATTGTAGCTCCCATGATAACCCCATAACATTCCCCAAAAATGGGGGATGGTTGTATACCTCCCATAAACTTTCAACTCTGTTGCTTAACTCTACATCATAAAAACCGCATGTCCCATCAAAAAAAAACCGAATGGCCTCATCGTATCGCCATAACAATTCCACCATATCCATATATCATATCCATATATCATATCCATATATCCGTATATTCAGTATATCCACCATATGGAATATGACTATGGAAATCCAATGACTATGGAATTCCACCATATGACTATAGAATTTAAATTCTCATATATCATATTCCATAGTCATTGGATTTCCACATATCCTCACCATATGAAACCATCACTTTGTTGGTTAAATCCCCATCACTTCTCTCCAGGTTGGGCCGAGTTGCGCAGGCCAACGACCTCCTGCGAGGTGGGAAAATCAGATCAAAGTATGCTGTGTGTGTATATACATAATGTATGATATATGTATGTATGTAAGTATATACAATGAGGATATGATATAATCATGTAGAAATTCCAAACATTCACGGCTACATCATATATGTATGCTAGTAGAACTGCTGCCATGTAAATGACGTGTATATATATATATATATATCTGTGAGTAGCGGACAAATTTGGATGTTAAATTTAATGCCATGCACAAATTAGGGTCGTCCCCTGTCGGTTATGAAGGTTTTTTGCAACCTCAGAAAGGCCGAGGCGAAGCAAAACTGAAATAGTCGTCCAATAATTTTGTCGGTTACTCATATGTATATATATATACATATCTATTATATACACACACATACATGTACATGCTGCATATGCATGTGGATTACCCAGTACACCATGCACCATCCTTCGATTGGAAACCAGCCATGCGAGCGGAGATCATCCCGGTCCTGTAGTACAACTTGGACTGATCGAAGCTTTGATCTTCCGCTTGCTTAATGGCCACGATGGCCATGGTGGCCTTTTTCTTCGCCTCAGTGCGTGTTGCGCTGAAACAAAGTGCTGAAAGATACATGGCGCTTGTTGTGGACTGGTGATTTCTGTGAAAAAAAAATGAAGGTTACGGTTCATGGGCATCATCCCAGGATGGAAAATGATAAACATAAATTGACCAACTCGTGGTTGATTTCTGGTGGAACCAAAGCCAGAGGTCCACACCCGATCAGGCCACTTGAGCTTCAGGTAGCACAAAGCCTGAGCTTGGCGGAAAATCTTCCCGTTAATGGATCATGGATAATACAAACCAATCCCCAAACAGTAGGTTTAGGGATGATTAGGGGTTGCTTGGTGGTCGAAATCCCGTGGTTGAGAGCGAGCCTCATTGCGGATCATCATCCCATTTCACTGAAAAACAAAAGATATCCAAAACATTTTAAAAGCCACCCAGAAAATGTCTGCGTCCCAAATCTGGTGACACTTCAAGTTGGGAACTGGTTTCAATGCCGGGATCCACAGCTACTTTTCCACCTCACCATGTCCCGTGTTCATCCCAGAGCTTGAAACCTGAAGTCGAACCACTTAGATGGGATATGATGGGATGATGAATTTGACAGCCATCATCAGCCATCTCAAATCATGTTAAAAAGCCAAAAAAGAAAGTACCCAGCCATCACCAGTTAGATGGGTATTAGATTCTGATTAGATCTAAAAAGACACCCAGAAGTCCAATTTTTTTCCATCAGACACGTGGCCGCGTTGCTCAGCAAGGTGGCCACACTGCTGGCTGGCACCTCTGGCTGCATCTTCAACAGCTCCAGGCCCTTTTCCTCGGAAAATGGATCCAAAATGGATGAAACTGGAAAAATGGAAGCCATGGCCCATTTAGTTCAATGATTTACCCAAGCGTCGTGATGAAACAATTGCGAACTCTTTTTCAGTTGCAGAGGGTCTGGGCTGATTTTGTCAAGGTGATGTTGAAAAATGCTGCGGGGTCTCCAATTTTGAAGTTGGCAATGGAACCAATATCTATCAGGAGCACCTGTTCCAAAGGGGGGCCATCAACCTGCGAGCTGACAGACAGTTGAAAGCAAGGAAGAGTTGAAGAAAAAAAAGCATCTATGATACAGTGACATTTCGCTAACAGGAACGTCAAATAACAGGAACACTACCCCCGAATAATCACGAAGGAAGTAAGTCGCCATACCCACTGTGTGGTTCCAAATTAATAGACCTTAATCGTGAAACGAATGCTTAGACCAGTGGCAAGATCTTTGAATTATATAATCAAGATTAACACCAAAAAGTCCAAAAAATATCAAACAAACAAAGTTTTTATCATATAACATATATATATATATTATAGATTATATATATATATGTAATTATAAGTATAGAGTTTTACCATGTTTTACCACTGAAAATGGCGGCCTTGGGGTATCCATGGGTCTCCCGTCCCATTTTTTGGAGCCATATCCAAGACTCGTAGTGAGCTAAGGCCTCCGGCAAACGGCCAGCCTTGGAAGGTCCGGCTGTTTCAACTCCTGTTTCTCTATAGCTACAGTCATGCTGCCATGCTAAATCTGGATTCATGTTATACAATTAGTTTTGGTAATAATGATGTTATTGATTATCGATAATGATTCATATTCATGATTCATAATGGTTTGTTTATTATCTACATCGTTTGAAATCAGCCAAGGGGCCTTAAAGTGCTCGTTTCCCTGTTGCCGAGCGACCTCGGCGTCCTCGTTTGCAAAAACAAAATCAGATTGCACCATCAAAAAATGGAATTCGACCATGTTTTGGAACTGAACCAACCCTGAAACGATAAGAATTGATAAGATCTTGCAGAACTTCCAAAAAAAAAAAGGAATAATACGGGATAAGACCGACACAAGCGTACAAGGAAAGATTCCGGGTTGGTTGGTGACCTGCCAACCATGAACATGAAGATTTACACCCAAAAACAGGGCAGTGTTTTCTCCTCCAAATCCTTCACCAGCAACATCTGTTCCAGTTGCACCTCGCCAGGCGGTTGCCATCGCTGTTTCTACCCACAAAAAGCTGGGGATTCAACATCTTTTAGTGCATTGAAGTAGCGATTTGAAGCAAAAATTGGGAGAAGGAGCAACTAAAAATGGAGATTTCAAGATTTCAATGGTGGCCTTTGAACAAAAGACTGGACAGATGTTAACAAAGGTTGAGACTTCGAAACCTCAATTCCCCTCGGGATCCTCCGGGCACTAACCCCAGCGATCGTTTGATGCCAGGTTTCTCTGGTGGACAATGTCTTCGCGGACCAGGTCCGTACGGAGCCCGGCGTGGTGACACAGGCAAGGAAACTCGTGAGTCGCACGGTGCATGTCGGGTGAAACACCGGGGAGATCTCGGTAACCACAAATCTGTGCACCATTGAAGTGTTCACAAATCATTTTTTCCGGTTTTTGACTTTTTCCCCAAGTGTTCCACCCAAGTGTGCCGTGCATCTTTGGCCCTTTAGGCCATCTCAGGAGTCGCACGGGTCGCACGGGATCCATCGGTTCGCCATCTCAGAGTGCTCCATCGGGATCCTCGTTGAATTTCGCCTTGAATTTTCCCATGGCCTCGGTGCATCTCCGGCTGTTTCAACCGTTTGGAGATCTGGGCAAACAACAAATCATAAATCAACATAAGTCAACATCAATCGATATACGTATTTACATATATATATATACATACGTATACATATATATATATATAAATATACTTACAAAAACTAGTAGCGGCTCTCTATCACCTTCAACTCCACCTTGAATGGTCGCCTGGTCGCCTCGACCTCCAATGAACAAAAGGTTGACCCCCTGAGTTGTCCTGAGCCTAAGAGGCCACTGGAACAGTTGATCCTGATAGAGTGGATGGATGTGAATATGGCTGGAATCACAATATACACATAGATCACATATGATTCATATGATCATAATCCATCCTCAGTTGTCCTTGAGATGATTCCCCATATATGAACCGTCCAACGTTAGGTCGGAAAGGTTTGGTCGCCTCCATGAACTTCTTGCCCTCGCTCTGGATCAAATCTGAGGCCTTCTCGGACGCTTTCGAGTAATACGCCAACCTTGGATCACTCGGTCTCCCCCTGAAAAAATACATGTGTGCCATGGTCAAAACATGGTATATGGCTTATGTCCAACTATGGATATATGATGTGATACATAATCCAACTTTTGACAGTGGCACAAATGTCTTCAAAAAGAGAGAGAGAGAGAGAGATTTCCGATCAGGTTTTTTTGGCCACACAGGCCCACACAAGAAATAATGAAAGAAAATCGATCGATTCTCATCATGGGGCGATTATCCCATTTGTTATATTATAGATAGTCCCCATTTATAATAAGTATATAGTCCCCATTTATCCATTTAGAATGTTTATCATGTTCCCCGTTAATGTTTTTGATCATCCATCCCATCGCCCATTCTCTTGTCACCAAGGAGCACCTCCTTGCCGTCCGTTCCTTTCCTGTGTCAGACTTGCAGGGCTCCATGTCGATGGCAATTTCTACCAAAATATCTTTGATAAATCATGAGATTGGGAGGTAGCCCATTTTTCGAGCCCAAATGAGGACACCGATTTTTCAGCACCAAAAAAGGCAGGTTGAAGCCAGTTGAAACATGAGGATTTACAGTGACTGAACTTAACCTGAGTTGGTTCATCGGGACAAATAGATTCACAGATCGACCACAGAAAAGTGGATGGAGACCACTTAAATATGCCACGAATGGACCCAAAAACGGCGATCCTAATTTCTGATCAAAAACGGCCCCGTTTTGAAATAAGTAATCTGTACTTATTTCAATACTGTATGAAGCTGAATCAGCCAAATAAATTTTGGGACAATCTGAAACCTGAATTTTGTCCCAGTGTCACTTCGATATCCTTGAAATTCTTCTCGACCTCTGCTGCACTCCACAACCACACAGCATGGGCTTTGGCGCTCTCCGGAGGCACGTATGGCACCTCTGCCATGACTTGGTCTTGGAAGAACATCACCGCGCACATTCCCCTAGGATCATGCAGTGGCGGAACATCTTCACCAAGGAAAACCATCAAAACCATGGGGAAACCTTGTGAAAACCTTGGGAAATTCACTGGGGAAATGCGGAAACACTGGGCACCCAAAAAACCATCAGAAACCTCAATTCAGATGATTTTCCAGATCTGGAGGCGATCCCAACTCTAAGCCATTGAGGCCGCAGTGATGAAGGGGTCTGTCAGAATGCGGTGCCCATGTTGAGGTGAAGACCCAGTTTCTTGGATTCAGATGTGCCCAATTTTTGCCCAAAAAACAACATCAATGCTATCTACGTAAAATCGCTGGCAAGATTTTAAGAGGGAGTTACGTTGAAAAAAAAACCTTATGGTGCCACGGGGGTTGGACCCCTGAAAAATAAAGTTAAATCAAGGAACCCAACCAACTACCAACCCCATTAATCCCTGTAAACATCAGCAAATTCCGGAAATAAAATCAAGGACTGTCAAAAATAAAAAACAAGATGAAGCCCACGAACCCGAATGCTCACACGTATGTTAATGGTACAGATGTCAAAACACATGGTTATGCAGTCGCCCACAACGCCTTTCTGCAATAGTTTATTTCAACAGTCTTGTGCATGTTTCCCTTGTTACCAGTCTGCAGTGTGGAGTGGAAGTGTGGAGTGTGGAGTGTGAAGTAAGGAGTGTGGAGTGTAAAGTGTGGAGTGGGGAGTGTAGAATGGGGAGTGTAGAATGTGTAAAGTGTAAAATGCGGAGTGTAAAGTGTAGAGTGTGGAATATGGAGTGTAAAGTGTAGAGTGTGGAGTGTAGAATGTGGAGTGTGGAGTGTAGAGTGTAGAGTGTGGAGTGAGGAGTGTGGAGTGCAAAGTGTGGAGTGTCGAGTGTAAAGTGAGGAGTGTAAAGTGTGGAGTGCGGAGTGTGGAGTGCAAAGTGAGGACTGTGAAGTGTGGAGTGAGGAGTGTGGCGTTTGTAAATTGTAGAGTGTGAAGTGTGGAGTGTAAAGTGTAGAGCGTAAAGTGTAGAGTGTGGAGTGTAGAGTGTAGCGTGTGGAGTGTGGAGTGGAAAGTGTGGAGTGGGGAGTGTAAAGTGTGGAGTGTGGAGTTTAAAGTGTGAAGTGTGGAGTGTGGAGTGGAAAGCGTGGAGTGTGAAGTGTAAAGTGTGGAGTGAGGAGTGTAAAGTGGAAAGCGTGGGGTGTAAAGTGGAAAGCGTGGAGTGTAAAGTGTAAAGTTTGGAGTGTAGAGTGTATAGTGTAGGGTGTAAAGTGTAGAGTGTGGAGTGCGGGGTGTAAAGTGTGGAGTGTAAAGTGTAGAGTGTGGAGTGTAAAGTGTGGAGTGTAAAGTGTGGAGTGAGGAGTGTAAAGTGTGGAGTGTGGAGTGTAAAGTGTGGAGTGTGGAGTGTGGAGTGGAAAGTGTGGAGTGTGAAGTGTGGGGTGTAAAGTTGGGAGTGTGGAGTGTAAAGTGTGGAGTGTGGAGTGAGGAGTGTAAAGTGTGGAGTGTGGAGTGTAAAGTGTGGAGTGTGGAGTGAGGAGTGTAAAGTGTGGAGTGTGTAGTGTAAAGTGTAAAGTGTGCAGTGTAAAGTGTGGAGCGTAAAGTGTGAGTGTGGAGTCTGGAGTGGAAAGTGGAGAGTGTGGAGTGTAAAGTGAGTAGTGTAAAGTGTGGAGTGTGGAGCGAGGAGTGTAAAGTTTAAAGTGTGGAGTGTGGAGTGCGGAGTCTGGAGTGGAAAGTGTAGAGTGTGGAGTGTGGCGTGTAAAGTGGGGAGTGTGGAGTGTAGAGTGTGGAATATGGAGTGGAAAGTGTAGCGTGTGGTGTGTAGAGTGTGGAGTGTGGAGTGTAAAATGTAAAGTGTGGAGCGTAGAGTGTAAAGTGTAGAGTGCGGAGTGTAGAGTGTAAAGTGTAGACTGTAGAGTGTAAAGTGTAGAGTGTGGAGTGTTGAGTGTAAAGTGTGGAGTGGGGAGTGTAAAGTGTGGAGTGTGGAGTTTAAAGTGTGAAGTGTGGAGTGTGGAGTGGAAAGCGTGGAGTGTGAAGTGTGGAGTGTAAAGTAGGAGTGTGTAGTGTAAAGTGTGGAGTGTAAAGTGTGGAGTGTAAAGTGTAGAGTGAGGAGTGAGGAGTGGAAAGTGTAGAGTGTAGAGTGTAGTGTAAAGTGTGGAGTGTGGAGTGTAAAGTCTCAGGTGAGGAGTGAGGAGTGTAAAGTGCAAAGTGAAAAGTGTGGAGTGTAAAGTGTAGAGTGTGGAGTCTAAAGTGTAAATTGTGGAGCGTGGAGTGTAAAGTGTAGAGTGTGGAGTGCGGAGCTTCCCCCATAGACACGGCGACGCCACAGGAAAACCAGCGACTCAAGACAAGACACATGGATGCAGAAAAAACAGCATTTTGCAGGAGACTTCCTCCAAGTTTGAAATTTTCGACACGTTATCAAACAGGTTGGAATGTCACAAAGTGCCACGCCTGCCACGCAAAACGACATGACAACCTGCTTGGAAACCTTCGAAAAGGAAACGTTTTGCGGCTGCCCCCATAGACACGGCGAAGCCACCAGGAAACCGGAGACTCGAGACGAGACAGGTGGGAGCACCAAAACGAGCTTTTCGTGCGAGACGTCCGCCAATTTTCACACTTTGTAGCTTCAAAATCGACGTTTTCCTACGAGTTTTCCTTAGAACCTGAAAATTTGCTACCTCAAAACCGATGTTTCGTGCGAGGCTTCCGTCAATTTTCAGCACATCTCACAAAATGCCACGCCTGCCACGGAATTTGCACCTTGTCGCCACTTGACGCAGCCCTGCCAATGCGATTTACAAAAAACACGCAACACGACACGTCTAAAGTGCTGCGCCTGCCACGAAAAATGACGATGGACACGTCCAAAGTGCTGCGCCTGCCGCGAAAAATGCAACACATCTTCTGAAAACGTCGCAAAAGTATTGCGCCTGCCACACAAAACGACTTTCGACACGTTACAGAACACGTCTGAATGTCACGAAGTGCCACGCCTGCCACGCGAAACGAAGCAACCAGACGTCTGAAACCTCCAAAAAGGACCACCTCTGTAAAACTTCCCATAGGCACGGCCATACGGTCCTCACGCGAACGGTTGCGGACGGTTGCGGACGGTTGCGGACGGTTGCGGACGGTTGCGCTCGCGAACGCAACGTCGAGCGAACACACCCTCAACCCCCAGACCCCCAGAGTGAAACGGGAACCCTTGCTACGCATTCGGGAAAAAATCAACATGCCCCCAAGGTCCTACTACTCCAACCTATTAGTATTGCGCTGGCGTCCCCACAAATGAACCCCAGCGGTGCAGCCACTGGTGTTTGATTTCCTGACCCATGCCCGACCACCGATTTAGAGGAAAAGAGTCCAACGTATACTTATACAGAAACATATTCAAACATATGTTGTCTATGTATATATATATATATATGTATATATATGCATATATGGTGTATATGTGTATATATATATATGTGTATATATGTGTATGAAGTGTGTATATGTATATATATATATATATATATGTATGATATATATATATATATACGTGTATGATATATATATATATGTATATATATATATATATGTATATATATATGTATATATGTATATATATATATATGTATATATGTATATATATATATGTATATATGTATATATAGAGAGAGATAGATAGATAGATAGATAGATAGATGGATGGATGGATAGATAGATAGATAGATAGATTAGATAGATTAGATAGATTAGATAGATAGATAGAGAGATAGATAAATAGATAGATAGATAGATTAGATAGATTAGATATATTGATACATTAGATAGGTTAGATAGATTAGATAGATATTGGATAGATATTGGATAGATATTGGATAGATATTGGATAGATATTGGATAGATATTGGATAGATATTGGATAGATATTGGATAGATATTGGATAGATATTAGATAGATTAGATAGATTAGATAGATTAGGTAGATAAGATAGATAAGATAGATCAGATAGATAAGATAGATAAGATAGATAAGATAGACAAGATAGATAAGGTAGATAAGATAGATAATATAAGATAAGATAAGATAAGATAAAATAAGATAAGATAAGATAGATAGATAGATAGAGAGGTAGATAGATAGATAGATAGATAGGTAGATAGATAGGTAGGTAGGTAGATAGATAGATAGAGAGATAGATAGATAGATAGATAGATAGATAGATTAGATAGATTAGATAGATTAGATAGATGAGATAGATTAGATAGATTAGATAGATTAGATAGATTAGATAGATTAGATAGATTAGATAGATTAGATAGATTAGAGAGATTAGAGAGATTAGAGAGATTAGAGAGATTAGAGAGATTAGATAGATTAGATAGATTAGATAGATTAGATAGATTAGATAGATTAGATAGATTAGATAGATTAGATAGATTAGATGTATATGATATATATGATATATATGATGTATATATATATATATATTCTAGTTTTATGGAAACATATTCAAATATGTACATAGATGGAAGTATAAATGCCTTTTTTGGAAAATATTCGACATATATTTGCAGGTGCCCAACCCTTGGACTAGGGCCTGGTTCAAAGTTAGCTGGTAGGGGTTGATTGTATAACAACAGTTTTGCCCAGCAAATCCATGATTACAGATATTGCTGCATTTTTAGCTGTCAACTAGCCTGTACTTGGGATGACGACAGTCGATCGAGGTTTGGATTTCTTGACATTCGGTTGTCTAAGTCTATGGCCCCAACACGTAAATGGGAGTTTTGGGGGTATTCTTGCAACCTATGTTTTGACGTTGGTTAAGGGCATCGCAAGCCAGACTCTCTCTCTCTCTCTATTACTATTCAAACTTATACATAACACATAAGTTCCTAAAAGTATTGCAACTGACACAGGCAAAAACAACCATTTTGCAGGGTCCCAACCTATTGCCCATCCAGCAGAAGCTGTTGAGATCCTGGTTCAACCAGTGAAAAACCTACCATTTTTTCGCATGAAAAAACTGCCCGAGGCTCATCATCTTCTCCCACTCCTTGGCATCATTGCCCTTGAAGATCCCCTTGTCCGTGAGCAGGTCACAGCCCTCGGCACCCATGGGCACCTTGTCTGCAAGTTCAATTTCCTACGCAGAGATCTTTCCGCGCGATGGATGATGGAAAATCAGGAACCAGTGGATTTGAGATACCAAAAATTTAAACAAGCAAAGCCATGAATATTGCACTCCCTTGCCGTGTTTGAAAAACGCTGAAAAAAAATGCAGAAACTCTGGTTGAGTATTGGATCTGTTCATTTTTGGGGGGAGAATGTCAGGGGCCCTTTAATGTTGCGTTGGGACTAGTAGTTGGGAAAGTAGCTCACACAATGGATCCATTGAGTTCTTGTATCGTTGTAACATCATCTATCCAAAAAAAAGAGAGGTTGAACTCAATCAATAGAATGGAACTATATTCAAGCATGGTAGTTGATGGAAGTACTTCACTATCGGGAAGTTGTTTTTCTTTGTGGGGAACTGCTATGTGAACTATTCGTTTGCTGCCGGAGTTCGATCGCTCCGCGCAGCACCTTGTATCGTACACCCACAGTTCCTTAAAGTCTTCGATCAAATAAAGAAGGAATTCGATGTATGTCAAAATTTCACCAGGCAGCATCAAAAAAAATCTGAGACAAATGATTTGCTCCAATCATGTTGATTGCTAATCTAATTAATCTTCTTTTCTGGAGCAAATCACTTGATATCACCTTTCTGTGCCCCCACTCCCGTCCTGCAAGGCTTCGGAAACAACGTCGTAGTCCCACATGAAGATGGCGCGTTTCATGTCGGTGGCATCCTGGGGGAATCCATGTCGTGGCCCATGGGAGTTTCACCTCAAAAAACCCGGCAAATCCTGTAGAAACTACTTGATTTACCCATAAAAAATGGTGTTTCTCCATAGTTATGTTAGTTTACCTATGTTAGTTTACCACCCAAGAATGGTGCAAGGTCAGGGTCTCTGGGTCTCTGGATTTCAACATCCCGTAGAGCGTTTCCTCCACACCTTGTCACACCAAGCCCTTCCTGGCCAGCAATGGCCAGGCCCACGAAGAGCTTGCCAGCTGATCCCCGCAGGACTCGAACACTGCCAGACAAAAATGACAGATGGAATAGTAGATACAATGTCAAATAGATTCCCAAATAAAATGCCAGAATGTCAAATGGATGGGATATCAGAATACATGTCAGATATAATGCCAGACAGAATGTCAGATGGAATGTCGGAATGTATGTCAGCTAGAATGCCAGATAGAATGTCAGAGTATGTATATATATATATATCACAAAGAAAGTCACATAGAACGCCAGATAAAATGTCAGCATATGTGTCAGATAGAATGCCAGATAGAAAGCCAGATAAGCTGTCAAATCTTATGTCAGACAGACTGCTAGATTGAATGCCAGATCAAATGTCAGATAGAATGCCAGATGAAGTGTAAGATAGAATGCCAGAATGCATGGCAAATTGTGTCAGACAGAATGCCAGATCAAATGCCAGATAGATTTCAAATAGTATCTATTCCAGATAGAATGTCAGACCAAGTGTTAGATAGAATGCAAGATCAAATGCCAGAAAGAATATGAGATAAAATGTCAGAATATATGTCATAACAAAAATGCCATGGTGGGGTGTTTCTTTCACAAAATCATATGGGAAACACATCCAGAAATCCACAAACGTTAGTTAGTGGAAACAACACAATGGTTTTGGGTTACCGCAATCTATCCGTATCCAAAAAAACACTGATGTGCCGATTATCTGTTGCTGACCAATCTCAGACGTCCGGCTGAAAGATCCAAAGTGGTTGAAATTTCAGGGGATTATTCCGCCATCTGAAAGATCTGAACATGGCAAGTATTGGGAATATCAACAGGAAAAACATCGGGAAATAGGAAATACATGGAACTACAACAAACACAACCTTGACAATGTTTGGTGATGTGCCTGCAAGTCAAGGATCTAAAAAGGTTGGTTGTTGGAAGATGATTTCCTTATTTGGTCAATGTTGCTTGTGGCATGACAATTTTGTCCAACCAGATTACCTTAGCTATCACAAATCATCTATAAATCCACATCAAATGCCTATGTTTGTTGCTTCAATTACCATTTTGCTAAGGTTTTCCTAAGGTTTTCCTAAGGTTTTCCTATGGTTTTCCTATGGTTTCCTAAGGTTTTCCTATGGCTTCCTATGGTTTTCCTATGGTTTTCCTATGGTTTTCCTAAGGTTTTCCTATGGTTTTCCCAAGGTTTCCCCATGGGGAAACCCGGTCCTCGACGTTGTGCGCCTTGCTGCCCTTCTTCTCGGCGCCGCCGCCGGCCTCGACGGCTTTGTTCACCGCGGCTTGGACCGTCTTCAGCGTGTCCTTGTCCAACTTCGCCACGAGCTCCTGGGGTAACAGCCATTGGGTCGTAACTACAATGGTTATAATGGTTAATTCATTATAGTATAAATAATGGTTATAATGGTTATAGTATAATGGTAACTATAATGGTTATAATGGTTATAATGCTTAAATAACTATATCCATGGGATATTATATATATGGGATAAATTATGGATATATGGACATATGTATCAATGGTTATAATGGTTAAATAATTATAGTATAATGGGTTAACTATAATTACCAATGGGATTACTATAATGGATTAACTATAGTAACTATAATTATCTTTATCATTGGGATTACTATAATGGCTATACTATATGGGTCTATGTATAAGAACCAATGGGCTTATATATTATGGGGATAATATTATGGGGTAACATTGGGTAGCAACACGTGGTAACCCCAATGATAATGATATAAAATGATATATATATATACTATAATGGTATAAAACTTTATGGATCATTGGTATATCCAAATAATTATCTTTACATCCATAATGATATAAGACCCCCTATGGATATAGTTATGGATATAGTTATGGAACCCCTGTAGTAATGGTACCACGATCAGATCGTAACACCTGGTAACCCCAATGATGATGCTATACAAAAACAATGGTATAATATGGTAAATACTCTATGGATGATCATTGGCATATATATATATATATCCATAATAATTACCATAAATAATAACATTATATCATCCATAATGGTATTATACCATGATCATATATTATTGGGGTAACATTGGGGATAATAGTTATGATCATATCATCCATATGATAACAGTTATAACGGAAATTATCTGATGAATATAATGATATACCCATAAGATTGATAAGTATCTTATTGTTATTTAATTCAATGTCATTTGGGTATATGGGGATAACTGGTGATATTCAACTAAAATCTAGCTGGGGTATGGAAGAACTTAGTTATAAACTACTATTATAACAGTCTATGTATAATAATCCATTATTGCAATGTATCATTGGGTTCTGATAATCAATCTATCATTGGGTTATGATCATCCATAGTTATGGTTATAATGCCCCCAGTTTTGATAGTATAATCAGTTATAATGGATATTGTTATGATTATGTAATCCAGAACTTTTGTTATAATGGAGATTATATGATGGATATACCCATTACATGATAAGTATCGCATCATCACCTATTGGAACATGTCATTGTATTGGTTCCATCAATGGATGGTGTATATTACCCAAAATATGTCATTGGGTTATCAAGAATTTGGGCATTATAATATTATCAATATACATATACTCACCAATACGTCGGAACCCATCATAATGGGCCTTTTGTAAAAGGATAGAATGACCTGGCCATTCTAACATGGCCATCTCCCCAATGATCCCCAGATCCGCCCAATGTGCCTCCAATTCCTTCTCCTTAATCTTCTTGGCTTCTTCGGGGACCGCCGCTGCGCTTCCCATGGTGCGAGAAGTTCCTTCAACGCGACGCAGGCTGCGTAGGGCAGGGCGTATCCCTCAAGCTGACACTGAGATGGCCGGAAAAGGCTGCACAGATTGCTCGTGTCACATATGGTCAGCTGAAAGTGAGAACACAAGGATTTCTGGCCGATCAGAAACCAAACCTGAGGCAATGAAGTTGGTTGGCTTTCCATTCGTTTTTTCCATTACTTGTGGTCATTCATTACCCAGGATTGCCCAAGTTTGACCAAGTCCTGTAAAAAATCCCAATTTTCCTCAAAAATCCCAATGTTTGCCAGCTCATTCCCCGATTTCTGGGTGAAACCGCCATTTTTTTCCCATGTTTTTCCGGTGAAAAAAAACCCAATGGTTCCCGGGCCGCCAGGCCGGTTCTCGGCGCTGCATGTCCCCCAGCTCTTCGGCGCGACGCAGGTCCTTCTCCTCCACCTGCAGGCCGTGGCCCTGCAAAGCCATCAGCGCCTGAGGACGAAGCTTCCCAGGACGTTCAGGACGATAATATCTATAGATATAATATACCATCAGGGATAGTGGGATAGTGGAATATATTATATATCATGGAATATATCATATGATTACCCTCTGGTTATGTCAAAATAGCTATTGGAAATGGCCATTAATAGTGAGTTTTCCCATTAAAAATGGTGATTTTCCATAGCTACGTTAAATTACCAGAGGGTATATAATATACCACTATCCCCCTCACTATCCCATGATATACCAACTATATACCACGATCCCATTCACTATCCCATGATATACCAACTATGTACCATTCAAAACCATGATATTTCTCATCTGGTTGGTGGTTTTAACCATCCTGAAAAATATGACTTCGTCAATGGGGTTGGGATGACAACCCATATATGAAATGGAAAACAATCCAAATGTTTGAAACCACCAACCAGATAGAAATTTCTGATCACCAGCCTAATATGGTTTATTCCCTATGGATTTCCATAGTTGAGTGTTTAATATGTTTATAAGATATGTTTAGAATATATGTTTAATTTACTGAACACCCAAAGATTCAGCCGTTTTTTTCGGATTTGGGTAATCGTGTTGTTTTTGTAGGATTCAAATAGTCGATTTTAAGGGTGCTTGTTTGCAGCAATCTACTCTTCTTTTTTGGGGCTACATGATGAGTTTCCAAACATTGAACTCAGTTGTGAGTCGAAAATGAAAGAACTGTTTATTATCAATTTTACCCAAAAATTATTGACATCTGGTGTTCACATGAATTAAAAAGACGAAACAATGTGAAAGGTTAAGAGAGTATGAGATGATCAGAGCTTCAATGGCTAGTTCATATTGTAGCGTGTTTCACCACTGGAAGTTGGAATGGATGGTTAGCAACTGGGGCCGCCCCAACAGGAGCGGCATATCTACACCGCTCGGTGAATCGGTTGCTTTCAAATCCAACTTCTTCTCGAAAATCTAAAAAAAACTTCATGCACAGATTCCCCAAGCAACAACCAATGCGATATCGATGATATCGTACAGTTGTTTGTCAAGCCCCCTGTATTCCGATGGTGAAATCTCCATGAATTCCTAAAATGGCATAGATGGCCGTGGCCACCACGGCCACTTCACCCCCCAAAACATGCTGCTGTGCGGTCGGGATTCCCGCTGATGATGATCCCACTCAAGTTTCTTTGTATACCCACATGGTTCACTTGTTGTTTGATTACCCTCTGGTAAACTAACATAGCTATTGAAAATGGCTATTTATAGTGAGTTGTCCTATTAAAAATTGCGATTTTCCATAGTTATGTAAACGTTTACCAGGCCGGGTATATGGCCTTTTCCAACTGAAGTTCCTGGGTTTCTTGGGTATGAGTCGATAAACCAAAGAAACCTACCGCGCCTGCATGATACGAGGATCTCGATGCCCTGCTTGTGCCACCTTCTGCCCTGCACCTGTGGAGAGCTGCTCGGTGGGCGATGGGACCATTGGTGAGAAATGGTGAGGCAAAAATGGATTCAAATGGAATACAAAAAACAATACCATTTAGACATCATTTAGAGCCTGAAAAATATCTTAAATCTAATAGATTAATACTCTTCATGATTTTTCCATCTTTCACCATCTTGAGTGGCCCTGCATCACCGCACCTTCTTCTTGGGAATTTGCCAACCTCGAAACAGCGGGGACATGCGGGGACGCAGTTTCTGCCAGGGTCATCTCCAACAACAGTCTGTTGAAGTATCTAATGTGTTTTTCATGAAATGACATTTACCATGACATTTACCAAGTTTTTACCCCTGGTTTTCCAATGCCCCAGTTAAACATCTTTTCATGAAACGAGCTGCGACTTTGGTGAAGTTTGGGGGCAGCTGCCGGGGTAAATCATGGCAAATCCCCCCATTGACACACAAAAAATCGTTTGGAAGCTTGTTTGGGATCCTAGATGATCCTAGGAGTAGCCAGGGTCTTGATGCCCAAACACTCCCCATGGTTTTCCACCCAACTTTTGGTCATTTTTTGGGGTTTTCAGAAAACATAGCGACCAGAGGACTCTTTCAATGGGTGAATCATCAGAGGTTCACACCCCAAGTTGTCTCTTTCGACCAGCAGCCTTTGCAAACGTTCCAGCTCCGCGATGAAGCCTTTGTCCGCCATGTGCTTTCGCACTTCCTGAAGAAAAAAGGGCGATGTGTTGGATCAGTGATAATTTTGAAGTGCATGGTCAAACATAGATCTTATATATATATATGAGGGTTTCCTGAAATGGGGGTACCCAAAAATTGGTGGTTTATATTGGAATTCCTATTAAAATGGATGATTTAGGGATACCTCCATTTTAGGAAACCTCCATATATATATATATACATATATATATATGAGGTTTATTTGGATTTGGATCTAAATGATAAATTTGATTATCGAGACTGAATGAATGACCATTTCAGGATTGCCTGGAAACTGTTTTTCGGCTTTTTCTTGCTATCGTCCAGATCTTCCATTCAGATCTTCCGGTCAGATCTTCCTGGAAAGTTGCCAGCCGAGCTGCAGCATTTTGCACCAGCTTTTCAAAGAGTTTCTCATCTTGCAGGGATGCTGTCAATGGGTCGGCCATTGACATGGCTCAAAATTCATCGGCTGTTGTTGAGGTAGTCAAGTCTCAGGGACTTTGCGTTCAAGCTCTCTTGATCTGAGGGTTTGTTGGGTTTCAACAATTGATTGGTGCTTCAGAATGACTCACAAATTCGTTGAAATGTAGTTGTTTCATTGTTTCAGTCATTCGAACTGGAAACAGATTTCGATTCAAAGACCTTAGGCTCCAATTGACTAGCAGAATAGGCTGCTCGAGGCTGTGTGATAGGGCTATGGCCATGGCACTTGACTGCTGTGTCTATTAGCTTTATTTTATGAGTATAGCAAGCCCGAAATAGATAGAAAAGTTGAAACCATGCGAATTATGATGAGAAAACCATCTGTAAGATCGTGCAAAAGCTGTTCTATCTATATGAGGGGTCTTACAAACCCTAGTATGTGGTGTGCCGGTATGATGGTATAGAAGGCCACAAACAGTATGCGGATAATTATGGATTGGCACATTGGCAAAGGTATGAGAGGATATGAGAGGACAACACGGCTGAACATGTTGGGGGGAAGAAAGCCATAAGCTAAGAAAGATCCTGGGCGTTTCCCGAAAATGTGCATAAATAATAGAGGCAACATGAAGCAACATTGTATCATGGGAACATCCGGCAATGGAAAGTCTGTGGATGGGCTTCCGCCACGACAAAGGGGGCTACTCCGTTGCTGCGTTTGTTTGCAAAGACTACAAAAGGGTTCTATAATGAGAACCAAAGCATACATTACGTATTCTATGTCCATCATGTGCTTCTATTGTGTTGTATCGGATTGCATCACATTGCATAACATTGTAGTATATCTTAGCATGTTATATCAGTTGTATCATGTTATGTTACCATATCGTATCATACCATATCATACCATGCCATATCATATCATATTATGTCAGATTAATGCGTATACATATCATATACAGTAGTATAGTATAGTATAGTATAGAGTATAGAGTATAGAATATAGAGTATAGAGTATAGAGTATAGTGTATAGTCTATAGTCTATAGTCTATAGTATAGTATATAGTATATAGTATATAGTATATAGTATATAGTATATAGTATATAGTATATAGTATATAGTATATAGTATATAGTATGTGGTAGATAGTATATAGTATATAGTATAGTATGGTATAGTATAGTATAGTATATAGTATAGTATAGTCTAGTCTAGTATAGTATAGTATACTATAGTATAGAGTATAGTATAGTGTATAGTATAGTATAGTGTATATTATAGTATATAGTATAGTATAGTATAGTGTAGTATAGTATAGTATAGTATATAGTATATAGTATACTATAGTATAGTATACTATAGTATAGTATACTATAGTATTTAGTATAGTATTTAGTATAGTATTTAGTATAGTATTTAGTATAGTATTTAGTATAGTATTTAGTATAGTATTTAGTATAGAATTTAGTATAGTATTTAGTATAGTATTTAGTATAGTATTTAGTATAGTATTTAGTATAGTATTTAGTATAGTATTTAGTATAGTATTTAGTATAGTATTTAGTATAGTATTTAGTATAGTATTTAGTATAGTATTTAGTATAGTATTTAGTATAGAATTTAGTATAGAATTTAGTATAGTATTTAGTATAGTATTTAGTATAGTATTTAGTATAGTATTTAGTATAGTATTTAGTATAGTATTTGGTATAGTATTTAGTATAGTATAGTATAGTATAGTATTTAGTATAGTATAGTATAGTATAGTTATAGTATGAGTATGAGTATGAGTATGAGTATAGTATAGTATAGTATAGTATTTAGTATAGTATAGTATTTAGTATAGTATAGTATAGTATAGTATTTAGTATAGTATAGTATAGTATTTATTATAGTATAGTATAGTATAGTATAGTATTTATTATAGTATAGTATAGTATAGTATAGTATAGCATTTAGTATAGTATAGTATAGTATGAGTATAGTATAGTATTAGTATAGTATGAGTATAGTATGAGTATGAGTATAGTATAGTATTAGTATAGTATAGTATGAGTATAGTATAGTATGAGTATAGTATGAGTATAGTATAGTATAGTAATGTAATGTAATGTAATACAATGCAATATATACAGTATATATATATAGCTATAGTAGATCAGCCACAATCCTTGGGCTTATGCTAAGCTTTGCAAATACTTCCCCCAAATTACTTCGCCATTTTCCCTCAGCGCCATTGATGTCAGCCGGTCTCACATTGACAGAGCATAGGACAGATACTCGTCCTTGGGATCCGTGGACCGTCGGTAAATACCAATCGGTCAATCGCTGGTATAAGTTATTTTTGTGGGCCATTTTCCATAGCTATGTTTACATATGTTTACTATGTTAGATTACCGGAGGGTAGTCAAAGATGATTGGAGAATCATCACTTTTTAGATGATGCGTGGCAAACGTTTGCGAAGTAACACATGAGCAAATGCGGAGTAACATTTCAAAGTCCCCAACCATCTTATATCATCTTCTTTAGGAAAAAACATCGCACCAAATATGTCAAAGTGAAACTGCCCAAAAATTAGCCATGGAACCATGCCTTCTATCATAGAATTCTTGAATGGCAGTCTCACATCCACATCATCATTTTCTGAACGGTTTCTGAACGTTTTCCGACACCGGCTTTCTGCACATTCGCATATTTTCGCCAGGTTTCCATCGAAATGGTGCCAGATTGATCCTGAGGGCTACAAACGGCTGAGGTTTGCCAAAACACAAGCAGCAGCAGGTCCCAGTCCTTATCCATGTCCTTGGTTGCGGAGCCAGCAGAGCCAAGCATAAATATCATGTCTCTGTGGGAAAACAATATGAAAAAATACGCTGTGGAACAGTGACTGGCAGTACACATCAGTTATGACAAAATATGACTGAGGTATCCCTCCATTCAACCAAATTCAACCAAAAGCTGGTCACGTCTTTTTGGCTGAGTTCAACCAAAGGAGAAAATGTGGGATTGAATTGTTTGTAATTCATAGCTGTTTCGAATCCTCCAATCAGTTAATGGTTTTTCTCTGAAGCTCTCCCAACGTTGACTCAGAGCGTCACACGTCCCTGCTCCTCCATTCATCCAGAGTAGTTTCCCACGATGCCAACAACTAAACCCTACAAATATCCAGTAAACTTGATACAGACCTCGAAGCTTTGAATGCAACAAGCATTTCCCCTTCCCATTTTGGTACCAGGAGGGCCATCTTGCACATCATAGCCGAGTAGCCACTAGTAACCTTCTCAGGTGCATTTCATCCAATTCGCCGCGCACGTGCAGCCGAAATTCCTGGAAATCGATGAGATTGTCCTGGCAGGACGCAACCTAAAGAGTACCCGAGTACCCCTTGGGTACACCCAACCAGTCCAAACCACAACTGCCGCTGTCTTCGCCGGTGAAACTGACATGGCAAAAATAGGCTCCTTGTTGATGTCAAACTCAGCAAAGTCCCGCCTGAGCTGAAAGTCTGCAAAGGGCCGAGAATGGTGAAGGATGATGCTTGAATGCCCTTCAAAGGAAAGCTGTCCTGACTTAAGTTAATGAAGTTAGTTAGCATGCATGGTTTGTAACTGTGGGAATCGAATTAATCGAATTAGGCTGATAGGAATTCTGATTCCCATCGGAAAATGTCACATTCCCATCATTGGAATTCATTGGAACCAGCTAATTCCGCACCAGCGATCGCCCAGCAACTTATATTCCGCTTCTTCGGCAGAGGTGAGCCTCGACAGATCATCGAGGATCACCGATAAACCACCCAACGGCCCGGCGATCAGCAGCTGTGAGTTCAGGAACTACTGTACAAGGGTGAAACACCCACAAAAAACCAGGTTCGGAAGCTGAGTTGCTTGGAAGATTTGGAAGTTCAAAATTGCCATTTTCTGCAAATTTCTGTCAGAACTAGTCAGAACCTCATAAACCAAGAAGATTCCGCGTTGGTTTTCTGCAACGTAATGGACAACAAAAAAAGCAACCTCTTAGCTTTGGAAAGATTCCAGGAGGTCTTGGCAACTGAAAGGAATCAATGTAAAATGTCTGATAAAGCACTTGCCTTTGTTTGTTCCCCACGTCTGATGAAACCAACAAGAGCAGACGAGTCTGGGAAGAGGCACCCGTGGCATGCGAAAGCTCTGACTTAAATACTTAAATGTCTACTCTGCAAAGCTGAACCTTGACGCGGATAGGTTGTTCCCTGACCACGGTCAAATCTCTTCAAATCCCCCTGTTCCAGAGTCATCCAGAATAAGCACTCCACAACTCCCTTCTACAAGCAACAGGAGAGATAGCCACAGCATCCGGCACAGCATGGATCCCAACATGGTGCTGCGCTGGGATTGGTCCAAATTCGCTTTAGTGGACGAATGGTGTGACCTGCTGTCTGTTTGAATCCTTGGTGCGATTGAATGGCATCCTTCTCGGAACCTGTGTGTTAGGCCTGCTCAGAAGGATGCATAAGAAAGAAAGCTGGAAACGAAGTCGCCAGTTGGAAGGTTGTAGTCCACTTGTTGCAGCATTTTGTTGAGTTGTTTGGGGATAGCCCAGTGTAAGGGACAGCTGAACTATTTTCTTCGAAGCTGAAAGAACTACAGATCAGGCAGCAAAGTCAAATAAATGCCAGTCCATCGGAACAAGAATCATGACATCACATTCCGAAGGCTGTTCTCAGATCAATGTTGTGCGTGATGCACAAATAAATACAAATACAATCACCGCAGCGCAGGAAACCTCAATTCTGTGATCACCGAAAAAAGGTGCCGGAGTGCAACATTTGATGAAGGCCTGATAAAAGAACCACTGCAGCAGAAAAAACCCTTGAGGGTCTTTGGGTACAGACCTATTGTTACTCAAACCATCTTGAACCAACTTCAGTCTGCAAGCACGCTGTAGGAAACCTCAAGTCTAGGGAAGGACAGAGGTGACGGAGAATGCAATTTAGTGCTGGCCTGAGAAAAGAACCCAACGCTACATCAGAATGTCACGGGGTCTTTGGGTACAGGCCCAGGGTATATATCTTGTTCTTGCAAGCTTTTTGCTCACCCATGTTCAAGATTATGCATGATGTGTACAGTGTACATGCGTGTATGTGCTATCATCGCAGCGCAGGAAACCTCAATTCTGTGATCACCGAAAAAAGGTGCCGGAGTGCAATGTTTGATGAAGGCCTGATAAAAGAACCACTGCAGCAGAAAAAAAACTTGCAGGGTCTTTGGGTACAGGCCTATTGTTACTCAAACCATCTTGAACCAACTTCAGTCTGCAAGCACGCTGTAGGAAACCTCAAGTCTAGGGAAGGACAGAGGTGACGGAGAATGCAATTTAGTGCTGGCCTGAGAAAAGAACCCAACGCTACATCAGAATGTCACGGGGTCTTTGGGTACAGGCCCAGGGTATATTTTTTTTTTCTTGCAAGCTTTTTGCTCACCCATGTTCAAGATTATGCATGATGTGTACAGTGTACATGCGTGTATGTGCTATCATCGCAGCGCAGGAAACCTCAATTCTGTGATCACCGAAAAAAGGTGCCGGAGTGCAATGTTTGATGAAGGCCTGATAAAAGAACCACTGCAGCAGAAAAAACCCTTGAGGGTCTTTGGGTACAGACCTATTGTTACTCAAACCATCTTGAACCAACTTCAGTCTGCAAGCACGCTGTAGGAAACCTCAAGTCTAGGGAAGGACAGAGGTGACGGAGAATGCAATTTAGTGCTGGCCTGAGAAAAGAACCCAACGCTACATCAGAATGTCACGGGGTCTTTGGGTACAGGCCCAGGGTATATATCTTGTTCTTGCAAGCTTTTTGCTCACCCATGTTCAAGATTATGCATGATGTGTACAGTGTACATGCATGTATGTGTTATCATCGCAGCGCAGGAAACCTCAATTCTGTGATCACCGAAAAAAGGTGCCGGAGTGCAATGTTTGATGAAGGCCTGATAAAAGAACCACTGCAGCAGAAAAAAAACTTGCAGGGTCTTTGGGTACAGGCCTATTGTTACTCAAACCATCTTGAACCAACTTCAGTCTGCAAGCACGCTGTAGGAAACCTCAAGTCTAGGGAAGGACAGAGGTGACGGAGAATGCAATTTAGTGCTGGCCTGAGAAAAGAACCCAACGCTACATCAGAATGTCACAGGGTCTTTGGGTACAGGCCCAGGGTACATGTCAAATGTCAGAAGTATCGATAAAGCATCCATCCTATCTTTGCCACACGTGAAACCCCAATTGCTCTTGTCAAATTAAGATCCTCGACATGTCAGGGATATCCAAATTGCTCTGCAGCGAAGCTCCTTTTTTTCATTCGACTCATCTCCGGAACGAAACTGAACCTGCACCAGATCACAGCAGTGCACAGAAACCTCTGTACCAATCCCTTACTGCTGGTTGATTCACAGAAATCTTTATCGTCAAAAGAAGCTAAGCTCCTAATGAGAGTAGACTAGAGACCGTCATATATCGATAGCATCGCTCTTTTCGGTGCTCAAAATCTCTTTTGATGTGTCAGATCAGTCTTTTGTTTGGTAAATTAAAATAACCCTTTTCTCTGCTTCAATCCCACGGCAATACCATGTAATACCTGTTGGTTAAATCCACCCTTGAAATTCTGTGAAGCCCCTCTTGCCAGTCAAAACCTCCTCCAAACGCCCATGCTTGGTCAAATTCTTGAAGTCCCCATTGTTGCTGGTCAAATCCCCCATGAACTTTCCGCTTAAATCATGCTCGCTGATCAGACGTTTGCTCAAATCCCGTAGGGCCAGCACTTGCTAACTTTCCAAAACAACAAACTCAAAACCCACTCAAAGCCTTGTCCTAAAGCCCAAACCTAAGGCCTAAAGCCCCCCAATCCTGGAAGCCTAAAGTCAAAATCACTGCCCCCTTTATAGCTAGTGTTTTTGTTCATCCTCTGGTCAAATAGATGACATCACGTTCTTTGGGTGTAAGATTTGGGGATGGCGCAACGGTACGTCTGGCGCCCAGTGGCTCGCAGACCACGGGCAAATGGTCGCTGCCATGTAGACCTTGGGTCGGGATAAGAGTCACTAAATAGGACGTATAGGAATGTATATAGGAATGTATAGGATATATTCATATATATATATATTCCACTATTCCATACCATTCTATACGATGTTTTCCTTTTCAGCAAGAAAATCCTCAAAAAACCTACAGCATCTCCTGTTCATCAGCCGCGGAGCGGTTGGGAATGCCCATCTGCAGTACACCTGCATCGAGCCACCAGAAATGTCCAAACTCAGCGATGCTCCTAAGATATCCTAAGCTGCTTGCTGGTGCAATAACCATCTTGAAAAATATGAGTTCGTCAATGGGGTTGGGATTATGCCATCAAAATTATGGAAAATAAAAATCATGTTTGAAACCACCAACCAGATATCCTAAGATATCCTCAGTTCTGAAGATTGCTTTGTCTATGTTACGTTGGATTTGTGATTCTTTTGACCTATCTTGAAGCCAGTGGTGGGCAGACGACAAAAACCATCAATTTCATGCGGAGACGATGGAGAGACCGTCTGTCTGGAAATCATGTGGCAGATCCTAAGACCCGGGGTACAGCAACCACGCCATCGTGTGCCCAGATCCAAACACATATTCACAACTATTCACCTTTCAATCATCATTCAATTCACCCGAAATATATACACTAATATATCTAATATACACTATAAGTCACTTTTTGATCATTAAATATGATTAAATATCATTAAATATTTAAATATCATTAAATATCATTAAATATCATTAAATAGCATTAAATATCATTAAGCCCCATGTTTTTTTAATTCGGCACCTTCGCTCCCACCAATCCCATCCCGCCGTCGCACCTGGCCGTCGCGGCGGGCGCCAGTGCAGATCCGTCAGATGTCGTTCCAAGCCCGGCACCGGGGAGGAGACGAAGCGCCAGCCGCCGGACCAGTAGCCATAGAGCCCGGCGCCTGATGCTGTGGAGCTTTTGACACAAATTTTTTCCATGTCTAAAACAGGATGGGATAGGATGGGATAGGAATGGGGAGATGTAAAAAAATAGATTCTAGAAAAGACTCTGAGAAAATCAGTTTGCATCGAAGACCTCCCAGTGATATTCAACGCCCTGGCAGCTCTTCGCTCATCTTTTGGCTCGGCTGAGACCCCTTTACATTGTTCACCAGCTCCAACGTTCTGGAGGCTGGATGTTGTACATTCGATAAAGAAGGCCCGAGAGATCTTGACCCAGCCCATAAGCCTGTTGGACTATGCGGCAAGGATGCTTCGAAAAAATGTCTTACGTCTGCGTGCCTGGAATTTCTCAGATTGTGTCACTTCTGTCCTGATAGATTTGTTCTTTGAAGCAGCTGCTTTCTTTGGATATCCTACAAATATATGAGATGTCAAAGTCGACTCAAAGCACCCTGCCACACCACTGAGCGCTGCTTGAAATCATCTCAAGCAGCACAAAGGTTGCGCTTGAGATCCAATGAGGAGCTCACCATGGAAATTTCCACGGTTGAGCTCCTTGGCAAAAAGTCGGAAACGTCTTAAAACATTTAAAACAGCGGATGAAGCGGACAGCGGATTCACCCTCCATGACAGTTGCAGTTTCCACATGACATTTGTTGCACTGGATCTGCCACATGACAGTCGCAAAAGATACACTGACGGTCACAAATTCCATTCTGAGTTGGTCAACGGAAAGACTTCTTGCATTTCTGAAACCGCAAATAAAACTCTGAAAGATCGGAAGATCCAGATCATTTAATTAGTTTGAATTAAATTGGAAATCATGGCCTTGCATGGCAGAGGGGCTGGGATGTGCAGTCTGAGGAGAACCATACACCAAAGCAGTTTCTTGAAGCTACGGGTCGATATTTCACCCACGTGACGTCACGTGACGTCCCATGGGAAATTCTGAATCACGGTGGTTTATCACCTGAAAGAGGTTTGCCAAAAGAAGCTGCTTTTTTGTGTTTTGGACACTCACACACATTGAATGAGAAAACTTCACCCAAAAACACCAAAGTAGGATGAGTGTACCTTCTTTAAATGAACCGTGGATTCATCGACCAGTTGTGATCCCTGGCATTGCGGCTGTTTTGCGCTCCTTGCTGCGGGAAAAGCCCCTGCGCCATTGCGCCACTTCGGGAATCTCAGCATGAAACCGTTTGGGTACGACAAAACCAATTTAGTTGTGAGTCCATTGATACCATCTATAATTTATGTATATTGTACACACATATCATATATATATATATATCATATATATATATCATATATATATATACGTATATATATATATGTGTGTACATATACCCCATGTTTGGTCGCCAATCCCACTTAAAAACAAGCAGGTGGTCGATTCCGGCTTCATCACTGACAGTCGCGCGTTGAAAAGTTCTGCGACTCGAACCAGGCGTTCGTCAAGCGTCCAGGGCCTGTGACTTCATCATCTCGTGGAAGGAACGCATGGGCATGATGTCCTCACAGTGAGGACCGGTTCCCTGGTGACTGGTGACTTTATGTGACTTTCAACGTCTGTGATGGTCAAGGCAGGATGGAGAGGTGAAAAGTTTTTTAGCCACTACATATAATGTGTATGTATATATAATAATATATAATTATATATACGTATATATGTGATGTGTTCGGTTCGTGTGTGTCTTTTTTGTGTCTGTTGTAGAGGGAGAGGAGACTTTGCTATTGTTCATACGGGTTCGTCTTCAAAACCTTGTTCAGACTCGATCAGGAGGGAACCTGTCAAATCTAGGCCATGACTATGGAAACGAAACAATCCAGAATAAGAAGTTGTTGAAGTGGTTCTGGTTTGTCAATGATGATTTGGGATATACAGTACTACCAAATCTATACTGAGATTGGGATGACCTGTTTTTTTCCGGATAAGTTACTCATTAGTTTCCCAGATCCTGAACACAACGGATCCAGGATCCGAGACAAAGCCCAATCATGGAGAAAAACGTTGTTTTTCGCATGGCAAATTGGGAATCTCCGGAATATCCCACATAAATGGCCAAGAGCATCTATGAACATCTTATACCTATGATATCCTATGATTACTAACCAGTTCCAAGTGGAATGATCCGCCAATTTCTAGTGTGAAGATGTTGTGGCTAGATCTGCCCGACCCTGCAGGGCTCGCCATGTCTCCAAATCGCTCTTCAGAAATTCGATGATCTTTGTATGCGAGCCTTTTTTATTTGCAAGCTCTGCCACCTCAATCACACTCATTCCCTGGCGGGGCAAGGCGCAAGAAGGCGGAAACTCCGCCCGCTGGTGACAGAGGATACAGTCCCATCATGCCAGGAATCGCCCCGTGTTACCAGACTAATCTGCAGAATATCGATATCGATCACATCCATGGAAAATGACGTTGCCCCATCAGGGTCCTGAACAGATCTGCAGTCACTTGTGGGTTGCGGTCATTTTGGGCTTGTGAAATTTGGGCTCGGCTTATCTAAACTCTCCCCGTGCAGGCCAATCCTTGAATCGATCCAAAGGGCATCATGAAACCGGAAGAAGAAACTCCGTGTCTCCTATAGCATCCCTGGGAGTGGGCTCTCATGACAGGTTTGTCTGTCGTTGATTGACTAAGCCGCGAGAGGGTCAGTGATCTTCCCCATCTCGAGTAAATATATAGACTCTCTGACTCTCACCTCTTGTTCCCACTTCTGGATATCACTGGATTTTCGATTGTCCATGGATTTTTCCATGGATTTTCCATGGAGTTTTTCTCCGCGCCCCGTGGAAAGCCGCACCTTGGAAGTCTTGACGTTCACGTCAGCCCTGGCTGCGACGAGCTTGCGAAAGAGGCGATAGTCCCCGAGTTTCGCCTGTCGCGGCCACAAATGGCTGTTTTTCGGTACCCGAAAATGATGGGATATTGAAAAATGACCGGGGATACATGGTTGATCATGGTTGTACTAGTTACATCATACTGTACATTCCTGTACCATGGTTTTTCCAAGTTTTTTCGGTCCCCTAAAATCCATATTGATTTCATCCATGTGTCCACATATTTCATGTTCGGACTGGCTGTTGTATCATCGGCATGGTGAAATCCAAGCGGCAGCGACATGAACTGGGTACACCGTCTCTGATTCTTTCCAGAAGGCGAAGAAAAAACCACGAGGCCGCGGTAGATTCGCACCCTTAAAGTCCAACCTTCAGAGAGGAAAAACTCCAAAAAAACTCCAAAAAGGATGAAAGAACTGATGCACTATATGTCATGTCTGTCTTTGATGCACAGAATGGGGATACGCATTCTAATGGTTAGGGAAACTGGTTGGATGTGGATAGTATTTCAAGAGCCTGGGGGGTTGGGGTACCATATTCAAACAAACCCATGTTGATGAAAAAGCATGAAAGAACAATCAAACACATTTGCGCACATCACACACCCACACTTATTTGAACACCAGGGAAATTGGGGAGATCATAAGCAGGGGAGATCATCAGGGTGACCCAGCACCTAGATGAACCATGCTGTGAGAGCTGACGGGGTCCAAGTCCTACACGACTTGTCACTTTGTTTGTGAGACACTTCAAACAACACAAAGTGTGGGGTCGGGAATCCCTCAACCCCGACTGGTCTCCAAGACGTCTCCAGTGACACATTCTGAATCGCTCCATGTCACGTGTCCAGAAAGTTCATGAGAGACTGGTCATCGTTCAATTTCCTTTCCAAGCGCCTCAAAGTTCCGTTGGGATCATCCCTGGAGGCTAGAACTCCGGGGTTTAGGCTATTAGGTGTACGTACGTGAGAAGTTATAAATAGAAATGTGCAACTCAACAGGAAAAATAAAACAGGTCCATCCAATATGCTCTACCTTCGCTATATTTCCCAACACGTGGGTCAGTTTTTGGGTCAAGTTTCACAATAGACATATATCATATCATATATCATCATGTATAACAAATTATTACAATTACACGAACGCAGCGGCTATTTTTCGCCAAGCATCTTGGCCAGAGACTGGGAAGATATGGTGCAAGCATCCGAGAGAGTCGCCAGCAAGATTGGCACTTGATGGTCGTCAGACTCCACATATCTGAGCCACGAAACCATGGCGAAACCATGGAAACCATGGGTTGTTTTACATATTTTTTGGGATATTTGGACCATTTTGGACCATAGAATGGTGCATCTTCCAACGGCATGTTCCAGATTCGCTGAGGTGAAGATTTTAACAAGTTCATCCCATTTTTTCCAACGACTGACTCTGTCGTTGTACCATGTTTGACCCCTAAAAATCCAGTGGTTGATCATCATTATCCCATATTATCCCATATTATCCTGGTATCCCCTTTGAAATGGATGGCTATGAGTCAAAACCCTGGTACCTAGTGAACCCCAAAATAGCTGGGATTTATGGATGTTCATCCCATTAAAAATGTATCTATAGGTATTGACCCATACCCAAATTTCTGGCTTTTTCGATGGCCAGGATGCCGTGGGATTTCGTCGTCCCCGTCGGTCGCCATTTCGTCCGGTTTCACAGGTGCCTTGGCGCGGCTGGCGCGGCTCGGCGTCGCAGCTTGGGAATTTCAGAGGTAGTGGTATTACAATGTGGGGCTCCCGTTCGATAGCTAAGTTGGTGATAGTTGGTGCACATAACTCCAATTTGCCTATGGTTTATGGTACGCAAATAACGAACTAGTATTCATGGGGCGAATCTAAACCAACTTATAACTGGGGGGGCCCACATTGTAGGATGATATGATGTTCTAATTATTCGTGGTATATTCTAATTGTTAGGGTAATATTGGTATTATATTCTGGGATATCATGAGGATGATATTCCATGTTATTAGGGATTATCATCCAGAGTTATTAGGATGACATTATATTCTGGGAGATTATTAGGATGATAAGCACAAACATTAGGATGATAATTTTGATAGATAAGCTCAAACATTAGGGTTATATTCTAGGATATGATTAGCATTTGAGTGTCAAATAAATATATATATATATACACGTAATATGATGTATCCCAAATAAAGGAAAAATCCAAATATTAAGATTTATACTTTAACACCAGTATTGGCTATCCCAGAACATCCGAATGACTCATTCTATCGTCGATATTGTGGATGATCCCATAATGACTTTCATGTCATTCTGGGCCCTTCCAACCACAATCTAGACATATCTAGACACCCAGGCATCACAAAGTGGATTGCACACCATAGATGTTGCCACCAACAATGGTAACAGCAATTTGTTTTTTCAGGACGACATCCTTCTCCTAGCGGCCAAATGCGTTCGTCAGGGCACCTTGATACTATGGATCGTGGTGTGCATCATGGCCAAACGAGCCGCGAAACGTTGGACGAAAAAAAGTTATGGTCACATCGCTGGGAAAGATCTCATGAAATTTGCGAAATGGGGATGGGTCAAAACCAATAGTACCCCTTCTGTTCACATCAAAATAGCTGGGATTTATGGATGTTCATCCCTCTAAAAATGGTATTTTCATAGGTATTGATCCATACCCAAATGGTCCTCTGTTGGTTTTTTTCTGGGAGGACCAGTGGGACCAGCTGGACCTGTGGTTCGCTGTCTGATTCCTAAGCTCGCAGGATATGCCACGTCTTGGAATCCTCAGACAATGGGAAGGTGTAAAGAATGGGAAAGTTCTGGAAAGCGTAGAAGGATAGGACATGAACATTGTCACTGTCAATGACGCTTCAAAACTCAAACCACAAAAAGAAGGTGATGTGAAACCATCACAACATTCACATGCGCGAAGCAAAGCGCTGTCTGTCAATGCCAACGACCGTGATGCTGCGGCCAGGCCACGGGCCCTTTTTCTCCCGTCGAGGGATAGCACAGCACCAAGAAAAATGGCACCGTCAACGACCTTTTCAGCCCTTTTGGGCCATGGCCATGGCGTAATTTCAGGCGCTTTCAAAGTCATCACATGCCCAGGACAGGAGAACTGGAATGCAAACCCTCTGGTAAACTAACATAACTATGGAAAATCACCATTTTTAATGGGAAAATCCACTATAAATTGCCATTTTCAATAGCTATGTTAAATTACCAGAGGGAAAATCTCATGCAATCTCACGCGACCTGTGAGGTTTTGGCCGACCCGTCGGGATGGTTTTTAGGATATGCTGAGGCCGATTCTACAGGCCGTTGAAAAACGCTCATGTGACATCTGTGATATTCATGTGGTGTAAATAGCGTATTCCGACAAACTCAAGATCGGATGCAATGAATGAACGGAAGGGCAGGAATTTTTTATCTCATACTGCACATCTGCCTGTAGCTGTCCGCATCAACCCTAACTTCAACAGGTCCAGGTGCGTGGCTGTGCAATGCCTCCAGCATTCAAAAATTTCAGGGGCTGAGCATTTTGCAAAACTTCAAGCAACCTCAATCCCGCTTCCCAAGTTGAAACACGCGAATGCTTCCTCTTCCCTGAACGCATGTCATGCGACGTACAGGGCTTGGAAAAACTTAAAGTACCTACTACCGGAAATGGAAAAAAAACGTCGAGCGGTTTCCAAAGCGTATCAAAAGCATGGATTTCATCCAAAACGTTCGTGTGATTTTGTTGACCATGTACAAACCAACAGTGGTGGGGTTGTAGCTGGATTATTGCTAGTTGTTGGTCAAAAGCATGATTCCCAGAGTGGGACAAACCATAGTACAAGTCTAGTACCATAGCCATAGTTGTGACTAGCATTTATTTCATACTACAGTACTATTTGCTGTACATGCTTCGTCACTGTGGGATTCTTTGAATATCCAAACAGTCCTGTGAAAAAAATCTGGCCCCTACGTCCCAATGATGACTAAAGGCCCCCCTTTTTGCGACAGGTTCACAAATCGCTCTTGGAAACCACCATCCAGAGAGAATTGGTTCGGCTAGAAACCATGGTTGTCCAGTTCATATGTCGTCCCTGAAATGGGGATCCAAACATTCATTCTTTGATAAATAAATGGAGATTGATAAATCTCGCGGTGCTAAATGATGACCATCCAATATGAGCGATCTACCCGATTTGCCCAAGCTTTGACCATGGCAAATATGTTCATATTCTGAATTTCATAGACTTATAAGTTACAGTTAAGTTATAACTTATAACTTATAACCATGGCTACTTCCTAACCGGTGTTAGTTAAGATTCCTTGATCCGATCAAACAATTGCCAGGTGAACCGGCTGTTTGATAAACTTCCTCGACTGCGTTGAACGACCAGGTGCCATTCGTCACAGTGCAGGTTCTGACATCTTGCCCGGACAAAAGAGCGGCCAAACAAAACAACACAAGTTGCTGGCCAGATCCCAGGTAAATGATTCTATTCTCTGTTCTTTGAAATTCCCAGGTTTGTTGGTGATTTGATATCATTAGGGGATCTGATTCGAGGCCCATGTTTGGCCGCAACTGTACAGAGGACTGATCCACCGCCCCTGAATCCAAGGTGGAACCCCGAACATCAGGGGATGCCGGGGGTGTGTATCAATCTCGGGCTGATTGATAAAGTCATTTTCCAACTTCCCTATCCCTTTGTGCGCTGGGGCATCTTTCTGAAGATTTCAGCATGCTCCACACACCTCGGAAGTTGGGGGCCTTTTTTGGGGTGTCGAACGAAAGTCACCAAATAGAAGGGCAATATCTTCTTGACAATCGGCCGGCTGAAAAAATGGGTACGGGTAGCAGTTATCATGTATTACCTCTAACAGAATCTAGCAGAATCCAAGGCCTCAACCCACCCACACTGCCACACTGATTCCAGGCACTGAAACGGCCACGACCTGGTCCATTACCCCATGCGCATGAACTCGCGCATCGGAACCTGGGCTGGTTTGCCACCCCAGCTGTGTCGATATTTCGGTTGCGTTCAAATAATATGGAAGGGCCTGACATACTCCCGAAAGACATGGTGGAAAATCACCTCTTTGAGGTACGAAAAACATCGAAAAATGGAATAAAACGGCAGCCCCATGAGATTGCCCAAGGACACCCATAACTATGCAAGTCATAGCCACAAGGTGCAACCTCACAAGTTACAAGTTGTTTTAGCAGCCAGTGAAATTACATCCACCATACGCCTGTCCACTTACAAAGCAACTTAGCTATGTAGCAGCTCTAGCAGGCACCACATTGATGCTTCAAATCCCCATGGAAAAACTTGTTTAAAACCTGTTCTCCATGGAAAACAAACCCTGCCTAGACTCACGCGACTGAGGTTCAACGAGCAACGATAGGTGTCCTACTCTTCAGGAACGCAATGGCCATGCAATGGGAACCGCAAGAATCTCGTTCCTCAGGGGATTCTCCAGCCGATTTGATTCGTGGTTTTGCTGATGTGTACCAATGGGCCAACAGAATGTGACGGCATTTCTGATGGCTAATGATTCGTGGTGGGACTCATGGGGAGAGACTTGTGGTTTTTCAGAACTGCTCACTACGTGGGGATATGATGATGATATGATCATGATACCAGGTAGTGCCTGGCACGCGCCGGGGCGGAAGTTTCGAAAATAGGACATGGCTATAGGAACCAGTTTGCTTATAGGAATTCTTGGTGCGCTGGAAAGAAGTGAACCGACATGAAATGAAATGCATGAATTGACCGAAATCAAACGACATGCCATAAACGAAAGAATAAATGATTGGAAATGAATGCATTCAAATGAACGGATTTAAATGAATGAATTGAAATGAATGAACTGACATGAAAGAATTGAAATAAATGAATGGAAATCAACGAATTGAACTGAATGAATGAACTATACACAATGAATTCAAATGAATAAATGAACTACATAATGAATGAACTGACAAGAATGAATTGAAATCAAGGAATTAAAATGAAGGAATTGAAACGAATGACTTGACATGAAGGACTTGAAATGAATGAATTGGCATGAATAAATTGAGATGAACGAATTGAAATGAATGAATTGAAATGAATGAATTGAGATGAAAAATGAAAGTAATGAATTGAAATGAATGACTTGAAATGAACCAATTGAAATGAATTAATGAATTAATGAATGAATGAACTGACATGAATGAATGGAAATAATTGAAATGAATGAAATGACGATGTGGCTGACATATGAAATCGAGCTCTCGCTACAGTCTCGTGCACTTTTTGTAGACCACTTTCCCCGATCGAGCCGCGAAACCGCAGAAACAGAGACCCTCCTTCGGCGACCACGGACGGCCACTTTACCCGCAAAAACACAGGGTTTCGCGCGCGAGTGTTTTCAAGCCTGAATTCACGCGTTCCCGATCTCACACTTCCCAACTACTTGCATGATGATGTGGTTGCCATGATGATTGAGGTGATGATGTGGTTGCCATCATGGTGAGAAAGCTAGCCATGACAATCGTTCGTTATTCGGAAGTTTCCTAACTAAACTTCCTTTGATGATCGGATTTCATGTGTGAGGTTGGTCTAGGTCTGGCTCCTCCTAGGCGGATTACACACAATGAGTTGGGGTGGAGGGCGCATGGGGGACCCTAAAAATTATCCAAACATTGTGGTTCTCAATATATGAAAACCATGAGTTTGGGGGTCCCACGCTTTAAGATGCTTTAAGGCACCTCATTTCATCGGATATTTAGTCTTTGCCCATGTCTACTTTGTAGCAACTTGAATTTGTTGATGTTCCCATTCCCCAGGCGCTTCATGAAGCTTTACCCTGTGTTTAATGGGTATCATCGCCTACGTTAGGTTCAATTGCAATCGCTTGTAAGTTGAAACCCCTATTCCTGTGATCAACTAAATCGACACCGGATGATGTACCCGACTCTTGTTACCGAAATCCCAATGGTTGTTGCTCAAACCTCTGATGTGTAATAAGTTTTAATAGCATTTATCGTGGAGAAAAAAAAACGAATTTTCCGAGTTTTGATGTACCAACCTTCAACAAGGTTTCCAACCACCATTGGATCCATTGAACCGAAAATCTGCTGGAAACCGTTTGCTGGAAACCATTCAAATTCAATATAGAGGTCTCCAATAAATGTTCCCGTAATCCGGTTCTGGCGCAAGAGAACTGCATGGTGAAATCACCATGTGCGCTGCTGAAACACAAATTTTGGAGGATTCGATCACCAATTTTTCGGTCGTTTCGATCAGATCCCAAGACTCCCGTGCCAGATCAAGCGCTGTTCGACCCTGAGGGAAGCTGGTTGCTTCAAGGGAGATCTAGATCGGGAAACTACCTGGGTGTTTCTGAGGGCTCTGTACACCCCCCATTTCTGGAACGTTCTTCAAAGGAAAATGGATGGATAAACCATCCATTTTCAGGCTGCTACCCACATTTTGCCAACCAAGTTTTTTGGAGAATGGGACCTATTGAACAGGTCGAGGATGAATTGCGTTTGCCAGGTTGGGTTACCATTGGGTCAACTATAGAATTGACAACTATAGACTATAAGTATATACATATATATATGTGGCAGGGACCTTTGGGGTCTATTTCGTTCCTATGCATACAAGCATGTAATGCTATTGTTTTTCTTCTCCTTTGGTCGTTTAACTTGTTCATTTCTTTTGTGTCCACTAGAGTAGACTAAACTAGACTAAAACTAGACTACTGGACTAAACTAAACTAAACTGGATTAAACTAGACTCTACTAGACTCAACTTGACTAAACCAAGCTAAATTACACTAAAGTAGACTACAGTAGACTAAAGTAGCCTAAAGTAGATTGAAGTAGGCTAAAGTGGGCTAAACTACACTAAAATAGGCTAAAGTAGACTACCGTAGGCTAAACTAGACTAAAGTAGACTAAAGTAGACCAACGTAGACAAAGATTGGCTAAACTAGACTGAAACTGAGGAAACTGGATTAAGCTGGACTGAGCTTGTTTTTGGTTAAACTAGACTAGCTATATAATTAATGTTATATCTAAATGTTGATGCTTATGAAAATCAAACACTACGTGACACTAAATTAGGGTAAACTAGATTAAGCTAAGCTAAACTAGGCTAAATTAGGCTCAACTAGACAAAACTTGACCAAATGAAATTAGACTACACATCATGACGAAACTAGATTAAAACATAGTAGATTGCACAAAATTTGGCCAAAGTGGAGTAAAGAGAACTAAAGTACATTAAACTCAGTCAAACTAGATTCAATTAGATTATATAAACTGGACCAAATTGGATTAAACTGTGCTAAAATGGATTAAATTATAGTAACAAACTAGACTCAACTACACGAAAGTAGACTCAAAAAAAACTAAAGTGGACTAAACTTAACTAAACTAGTTGAGTCTAATTTGGCCTACTTTACTCTCATATAGTTTAGTTCAATTTAATCTAGGATGGTCTGGTTTAGTCTACTTTATTTAGCCTTTTTTAATATACCTTGTCTAATTCAGTCTAGTTTAGTGTTGCTTAGTCTTATTTAGTTCAAGTTGGCGTGGGTAAATTCTGTTTAGTCTGGTCTAGCCAAGCTTAGCCTAGTTTAGTCCAGCTTTGCCCAGTTCAGTCTGGTCTAGTCTAATTTCGTTTAGTCTAGTTTAGCCGAAGTTAGGTTAGTCCAGTTGAGCATAGTTTAGTCTAAACTAGGCTACGTTAGTCTGCTTTAGTGTAGTTTAGCCTAGTTGATTCTAGTTTGGGTTAGTTTTGTTTTATTTAATTCAGCTTAGTTGAACTTAGTCCAGGTGTAGATTTAGATGCAGGTGGTTTTGCTTAGTCTAGTTTAATCTGGTTTAGTCTAGTTTAGTCCATTTTAATCTAGTCTAATCTAGTTTGGTCTAGTTTAGTCTAGTTTGGTCCAATTTAATCTACTTTAGTCTACTTTAGCGCATTGTTTACTCTAGTCTATCTAGTTTACATAATAGAATTTAATCTGGTCTAGCTTAGTCGATTTTAGTCTGGTTTAGTCTTGTTTAGTCTAATTTAATTTAGTTTAGTGTAGTTTTAGCCCAGTTGAATTTGTTTTGCCTAATTGAATCTAGTTTAACCTAGTTTAATCTAATTTACTCTAATATAATCCAATTATTATCTAACTTAATCTTTGTTATCCTAAATGTATAATCTAAGTTCGTCCAAAATCAATCCAACTTAGTTCAGCTGAACCGAACTTAGTCAAGTTTAGCTTGATTTCATCTAATCTAAATCTAATAGAATGTAGTTTAGTTTAATTTAATCTACCTTAGTCCAGCTTTATCGAATTCAGTGTAGTTTAGTCTCGTTTAGCCCAGCTTAGCCTAGTTTTGTCTAGTTTAATGTAATTTTATTCAAATTTAATCTAATTTAATCTTGTTTTGTCTAGTTTAGTTAAACTTAATCTACTTTAGACTAGTTTAGTCCAATTTTTCCATTTTAGTTTACTGTACGTAGTTTTCTTCGATCTAGTTTAGCTTAACTTAGTCTATTTTAGTCTACTTGAATCTACTTTAGTCTACTTCAGAATATTTCAGTTTAGTTCAATCGTGTTTAGTTTAGCTTGATCTAGTTTCATTTATTTCACTCTAATTTAGTTTAATCTAGCTTAGTGTAGTTAAGTCTAGCTTAGTCTAATTTAGCCTAGTTTAAGGTAATTTCACCTAGTTTAGCCTAGTTTAATAATCTAATTTAGCCTAGTTCAATCTAGTTTTATCGAAAATTGTTGTGTTTAGTCTACTTTGGTGTAGCTTAGTGTAGTTTTGTCTAGTTTTAGTCTAGCTTAATCCAATTTAGTCTAGCTTTATCCAGTTTAGTCTAATTTAGCCTACTTTCTTCTACTTCAGTCTCCTTCAGTCTTTCTTAATCTATTTTAGTATACTTTACTGTAGTTTAGTCTAGTTTAGTCTTGTCTTGCAATCTAGTTTAGTATTGTTTTGTTTAGTTTAGTTTATTTCAGTCTAGTCTAGCTTAGTTTAAACCAATCTACTTGGAACTATACTAGGCTAGTTTAATCTATTTTCATGTGCTTTCATCTTGTTTAGTCTACTTTAGTCTTGTGTGATTTACTTTAGCCTGCTTTTAGTCTACGGTGGAATCATTTACAGTAGTCTGGTTTAGCGAATCTAGTCTAGTTTAATCTAATTTAGTCTAGTTTAATAGTCTAGTTTAATAGTCTGGTTTAGTCTAGTTTAATTTAATTTAATCTAATTTAGTCTAGTTTTGCCTACTTTTGGCCTACTTCAGTCTACTTTAGTGCATTTTAATCAAATTTAGTCTATGAGTCCACTCTAGTCTAATTTAGTTTAGTTTATGTTCGTCATGTTTAAATTCAATTAAACTAAATTCAACTATTCTAAAGTAGGCTAAACTATATAGATGAAACTACGCGAAATAGTACAGTGAAATAGACTAAACTAAGCTAAACTAGACTACACTAGATTAATCCAAATTAAACTAAACTAAACTAGACCGAATCAGATGAAAATAGACTAACCTACTGCAGACTAAACTACTTTAAAGTAACTCACATTAAAATAATTTGACCAAACTACACTCCACTAGACCAGACTGGGACTACCATTTTCTCAGTATGTTTGTTTCTGTTTTGAGTTCTTGGCTTTCCCTTTTCTTTCTATGCTCTCGGCCATCTTCCCGCTATTCAGTAGAGTCTAGTTTCCGCTTCTACTTCCTCTTCCCTGTTAAAACAATGTTTTGTTCTTTGCAATTTCTTTCTGCTTTTGTTTTCTCGTCTAACCTTTCCCTGCTTTCTTCTTCTCACTCTTCTTTCTCTTCCCAATTCCAAACTCTTCCTTTTCCTTTTTCGTTTCTCCTCTCCCTGTTCCTGGTAAAATTTCTCTTCCAATCTGCTTCGGCGTTTTGCATGTGTTTCTTCCTTGTCTGCTTCCTTTGTACTCTCTCCTCTTCACTGGTCTTGTTTCTTCTTTTGCCCCACTATGCCCGGTCTTTCCGGTTCTGCTTCCTCATTGGCTGCATTTCCTTTCCAAGAGAAGGAAGAGGGGAGAAGGAACATTACAATAAAGACAAAGGAAGAAGGTGCATTTGAAATAGAAAAAAACAGTGAAATAGCAAAAAGGAAAGTGTTACGAAAAGTTAAAAAAAAACAAGGAAAAAGTCACATGCAAAGGAAAAAAGACAAACAGGATAAATACTGTAATGAAAAACCGAGTAAGGGTTAGATACAAACGACGTGAAATTGGAATAAGAAAACGAAAATGAGATTGCTAAAGCAAAGAAGCTTTAGTGCAGGAACGGTCCCCACTCAATCTTGGAAAAGGGGCTGCCAAAAGAACTCTTGGAAAAGGAACTAGAAAAGGAAGCAGAAGGGGAGAAGAAAATTGAAACGAAATTGACAAGGAAGAGAGTGAGAAAGAGAAACTTGAAGTGCAAAAAATAGTGAAAGAGTAAAAGGGATAGCGTTACGAAACCGGAGAAACAAGGAACAAAAAGAGGTGAAGGCAAATAAGAAGAAAAAGAACAAGGAAGGCCCCAAACTGACAATGGAAGTGGAGAAGCAAACAAACAAATGACAAGGAAAAGGAAACAATCAACGGATACGAAGCTGCATTTTGGCACTGTTAAAGGGCGCTATAAACCTTGGGAAAAGAGACCCAAAAAAGAAAGGAACAAAGGAATAGAAAAAGGAAACGAAACAAATAAGGATAAGAAGAAGAGAGAAGAGACAGAGACTGGAATGTAACAAGGCAAACCGGAGAAACGATAGCACAGCAGGGAAACAAGAAGGGAGAAAAGGAGCGGCAGGAGGAAACGGAAAAAGGACATGGAAAGGAGGAACAACAAATAAAAAAGACAATGTAAAGGGTCAAAGGGAAGAGAAGACAGAAAAACATCTCAGATTCTAGTTGACAGGGCCCTGTCATGGGCACAAAATGGGGCCTTTCATACGTGAGTTACGTGATACACACTATACACTGGATCCTCTCCCCACTGCCCTTTTTCATCTCTCTCTTCCAGCTCCGTTTGGTCCTCTTTTTTGTTTATTTTTTTCTGCTGTTCTCTTTATTCCTGGCCTTGCCTTTCCAAGATTGCAAGGGCCCCATCACAATCACAAAACGAAGGCTTTCATGCGCAGTATACTATTCACACTATTCACGATTAGTTTTATCCCCTTCACGTTCATATCCTCTTCTTGCTCTTGTTTCTCATCCTGCTCGTAGAGTGTGTGGCTTAAGGTTGTTTGCCGCGTGCATGTTCAAACAATGACACGAAGCTTTGCTGCTTCAGCTTATTTTTTT